GAGAGAGAGATCAGCGCTCTGGAGTGCGTGTGAATCTTGGCTCACTGCAACCTCCATCTCCAGTTTCAAGTGTGTTTTTTTTCTCCTGCCTCAGCCTCTGAGTATCTGGGATTACAGGCACCGCACCACCACACCTGGCAAATTTTGTGTTTTAGTGGAGACAAGTTTCATCATGTTGGCCCAGGGCTGGTCTTGAACTCCATATCTACCTGTTTTTATAGGGATTTCCCCTGATTGTAAAGGCAAGATTTAGTAAATTTGGAGAATAATAGTTATAGTAGCAATCTGATAATAGTATATGATTTGTTACCAAATATGAATATTGCTATAAAGTAAAAATATAATTACTTGTTATGCATGTTGAGTTGAGATGTATATGTTCATGATTTATCATTCTAGCTTTTCTGTCTTGTTACAGGATGATTTTATGGGTGCAGCCATTTGCATAACTGTTGTATAACATGCAGCTGCAGGAATGTACAGAATGAAACTGTGATTTGTGAAATTAACATACACAAGTAGTGAAAAGCTTAAAAAGACACAGGAGGGTGATGAGCACTACCCTCAGAAGAGAGCGACTCCTCATGGGGTGGGTCAAGCATGCAGGGCTTCACCCGTGGCCGGGAGTGGACCCTGAGTGGAGGACGCCGGAGCTGGGGCGAGCCAGGCGAGCTGGGGCGAGGTGTGCGACTCTGTTGCTTTTCCTCCAGCTCCTTTCTGGTCTGGTCTCCCATGTGGGGTTTATTCTCCCTCCGTTTCTGTATTTATGTGCTTATTGTCTGCTTCCTCCCACTAGAATCTCGCTTTGTGAGGTCATTTCATGAGCATTTTCCCAAGACATTTAAAATTCCTTGTACATTTCTTTGATTCTTAAAGAGAAAACTTTTCCTTTACGAAAGACGTTTGATGAAAGTTGTTAAACAACAAAACTAAAAATGGACTTGTGATCCTGTCACGTGAGGAAAACCATTGGTTGGATTTTGGTACACACCCTTTCATGGTATTGATTTTATGTGGTGTCTGCACCCTCCGCTGCTGACTGGTTATATGTTCCGTGTGTGTCGTCTGCAGTTCCCGGCCTGCGGGCAAAGGCGTGGAGGGGCTCGCCAGAGTGGGATCCCGAGCGGCGCTGTCTTTCGCCTTCGCCTTCCTGCGCAGGGCCTGGCGATCAGGTACGGTCCCCGGTGTGGCGCGTGGTTCTGCTTCCCTAACACACCAACAGTCTGGGTTTCGAGCTCGGTTCAGCCACCCTGTGCCCTTCGGCTGATCCCATGTGCTCTCTGCGCCTCAGTTTCCTTGCTTGTGAGATGAGAGGCTGCAGAGGCTGTTTGGCTTTTCATGTCTGTGCTTTAGAGAAAAAAAAGAGCAAGTGCATGCACCCCCCACCCCACGCCAGCCACTACCATGGAACACCTGAGTATGGACTTAATTCTAGAAGAACAAGAAGTTAGTGTAGTGCTCATGTGACAGCCATGAAACACAGAATTGACTGGAGCAGCTGTGCTAGATTTTGGCCTGTTGAGTGAGGGATTAGAAAGGGAACAGTGGCATCTTCTCTCGCTGAGGGCTGGGAAGCCCAGCGGGAGAGTAAGGGGAGTGGGGGTCTCCTCTGACGCGTGTGTGCGCCCAGGCGAGGATGCGGACCTCTGCAGTGAGCTGTTGCAGGAGTCTCTGGATGCCCTGCGAGCACTTCCCGAGGCCTCGCTCTTCGACGAGAGCACCGTGTCCTCTGTGTGGCTGGAGGTGGTGGAGAGAGCAACCAGGTTCCTCAGGTCTGTCGTGACTGGGTGAGTTCTTTCCTTTCTTGCCTTCTGCTTGCAGACAGCTGGCCTGCTGGAGGCTGGTTCTTACCACCCTCGCTTTAGAGCTAAGAAGCCTAGTAGGTTGGTTTCTCGCCTGTTTTCAGCGGGCTCTCGGTGTTGTGATTCCGGGTCTGGGTTCTCAGCTTTTCTGGTGATTCGATTTATGATACTCTGACTAGACCCAGGAAGCTGTGATACTAAATGAGACGACGAGGGAGGATGCTTAGAGATTTGGCCATCAGTCATTCGTGGAGGGTTGAGCACTGACATTGTGTGTCCCTCTGTGATGATTAGGAGCTGCTGTTCTGAGTGCAGAGTGGCACTTGGTTTGAGTCTTATAGATAATGTGGGAGTAAACAACTACTCAAGATGAAATTGTTTAGTCCTGTAACTGATGTTTTTAGTGTAAAAAATTTTGAATAGGAATCATTTGTGTGTAAGGAAAAACATGAACTCTGGTCTTGGGTGCTAGGCTTTGTTGTTAAGGTTTTTAAATGTAAAGGAATTCAACAGGAAGGACAGATGCAGAGGAAAAGTCAGGCTGCTCCTCACTCTCCTTGCCAGAGGTCAGCACTGTGCCTTCTTCCAGCGGGCAGGAGGCCTTTGGCGTTTGCGCCCCCGGCTCTGAGTCCACTTCCTGAGTCCACTGCCTGCTGGTGAAGGCATCACCACAGAGTTTTAACGCTGGAGGCCCTGAACATAGGCTTGGACTTGATTTCAAAAATTCAGCTGTAATACTGATGCCATAAGATCTTTTTTCTGCAGTCTTGGGGTAGAATTTTTAAATATTTATCATTGAGTAACATAGAAAAGTGAAAAATATTTTATTGATCAGAGATAGAAAGTAGTGTAGACATTTTGCCTCCAGATTCTCAGGTGGTTTTAGAAATTGGTTCTCTGATTCTGTAGGTGAATGTTGATACTGTTATAGTCTTACACGTCATTGAAACTGTAAAAGATAGCTAGATAGTCTACTCATGTTTTGGATAATGAGATAAATTATTTTGTGCTTCGCACACTTGGAGTATGTCATCTACTGTAATGTGGTATATTACATGGTATATATTATATAATATGGTATATTACATGGTATATTAATGAATACTTAAGATATAGTTGTGTAAGCTAATTAATCATATACTTTAAAATCTCTGAATAAATCTGAGTAGTAAGTCTCAGAAACTTGATTCTAAATATTAAAAACATTTCCTTCCTTGGGAGGGAGCGTGTAGGATACGTGCAGTGTGATTATAAGCATGCTGTCTGTCTGGAGGTCGCTTTGTTCCTGCATCCTCTGCTTTCATTTCAGGGATGTTCAGGGAACGCCAGGCACCAAAGGGCCAGGAAGCATCCCCCTGCAGGACCAGCACTTGGCCCTGGCCATCCTGCTGGAGCTGGCTGTGCAGAGAGGCACGCTGAGGTGAGGGCTGGCGCAGACTGGGAACGCTTTGGGGAAGTGCGTCTGTATCCAAATACCTGTTGCATTGTGTGCATTTCACTGAATCATTTGTGACTGCAGCAGATGTGTGGTGCTCTGTAACCAGAGAACCACGTCCCAGAGCTCGCTCTCTCTTTACCTTTTCATCACTTGCTTTTTTATGCTCAGTTTTCTAGCCTGGTAACTGTTCTTTCTTTCTTTTTTTTCTTTCAGTTTACCTAACTTAATTATTTTTATTCCATGAATTTAAGATCCTAGATCTTTCATGTAAACGTGCTCTTTGAGCTTCTTAACTGGTCTTTCCTATCAGCAGAAGGCGACGTCTTGTGCTAAAATCTCCGTGGCAATTCAGTGATTTAATTACCACAGCTTTACTTTCGTTTCCTTTCAGATCCCAAGTATTTCTTCACTTCTATCTAGATGTGTTTGCTTTTATTTTTGATCAACCATGAAGAAAAAAAGTTAATGTGTTTTTACTAGGAATGAATATCTTTTCTCCTTTAGCCAAATGTTGTCTGCCATCCTGTTGTTGCTTCAGCTGTGGGACAGCGGGGCACAGGAGACTGACAATGAGCGTTCCGCCCAGGGCACCAGTGCCCCGCTTTTGCCCTTGCTGCAGAGGTTCCAGAGCATCATTTGCAGTAAGGATACACCCCACTCCGAGGGCGACATGCACGTGAGTGTCATGATCGCACTTTGTGTTTAGGTGGCACTCGATTCTAGTTATTTTTTAAGCCAGACCAGCGTGCATGTCCACGGCAGTGTTTTTCTCTGTTGTGTGTGTGTTTGGTGGTAACAGCAGTGAGTCAGATGAGACAGGTGTGGGAGGTCACTTGTTTGTGGAGAAGACTCGGTTTGGCTCAGTGAGCACTGAGTTCCTTATCAGCGGAGAACCAAGCTTGAAACACGCACTTTTAAATCAGTACCAGAAAAGAACAACAAAAATGGGGGTCTGCCTTGTTGGTCCTTCCTGTGTGCTGGGCTCTATGCAGGGTATGTCACCTGAGCTGTCACTCTGTTGAGTACCAGCTCCCCGCTTAACAGGTGTGGATGCCGAGCTGGGGAGGAGCAGGTGTGTGGGGTCCTGGGCCTAAACCTCCAGGATACTGGTCTTTACAGGTCAAGTACAAGTTGGATTTTGCCAGTCTTTTCAGGAAAGTCTTAGGCATTTCAATATCGTGCTTTGGTTTAATTTTTCTATTATTTGGCACTTTTTTTTTTTTTTTTGAGATGAAGTCTTGCTCTGTCGCCCAGGCTGGAGTGCAGTGGCGTGATCTCGGCTCCCTGCAGGCTGGGCCTCCTGGGTTTACGCCGTTGTCCTGCCTCAGCCTCCAGAGTAGCTGGGACTACAGGTGCCCGCCACCACGCCCAGCTAATTTTTTTGTATTTTTAGTAGAGATAAAGTTTCACCGTGTTAGCCAGGATGGTCTTGATCTCCTGACCTTGTGATCCGCGCGCCTAGGCCTCCCAAAGTGCCGGGAGTACAGGCGTGAGCCACCGCGCCCGGCCTATTATTTGGCAGCCTTTAAACTAATGATAATAGGGCTCTTCTGCCTTTTGAAGAATTAGAGCTGTGATTTAATTTGCAAATGAAAGTAGGTGTTCTCCAGAGTGGGATATTAAAATAAAGATTTTGGTTTTAGCTTTCAAGGCCAGCTTGAGATGCTGTGCTGGGTTTCCCCAGAGGTGGTTCTGCCTTTCCCCAGGGGTCCTAGGCCTGTGGGGTGGTTTGGTTGTGTTAGTAATCTGTGTGGATTCAACTTACCTGTGGTATCATGAATGTATACATGCACAGTCAATGTTGTGGACATGTATACCACAAACTTAGACAGTTACCCAGTTTATATGCTGCATAAATATGTAGATGTGTAGTATAACTGTATCATCAACATTGTCATTTGATGTGTCAGATGAGTCAATACCAAAATATAAAGAGTGGTTAAAGGCTAATTGTGTCACTTTAATTTTTCTGAATGTTTGTTTACTTTTCCTTTCTAGCTTTTGTCTGGTCCCCTGAGCCCCAACGAGAGTTTCCTGAGGTACCTCACTCTTCCACAAGACAACGAGCTTGCCATTGACCTGCGACAGACGGCGGTTGTCGTCATGGCCCACTTAGACCGTCTGGCTACGCCCTGTATGCCTCCGCTGTGCAGCTCTCCGACGTCTCATAAGGTGTGTGCAAGAACCACGTTCTCCATGTGTTTTGTGGCTAGTACCACCTCTAGGTTGTCATCCTGGGCCCGTGTGGAGACTTGCGTTTTCTGGTGTTGATGGGGGGAGCTGGCCTGTGGTTTTAAATGTGTTTGCAGTTGAAGGTGTTATCCGTGTTGAGAGTGAGTGATGAGCAAGCTGAGGTGCACAGGCCTGGGGACCCAATCTGGGGGCCAGGTTCTAGGTTCAGGTGGCACAGCCCCAGAGAGCTCCCCTTTATCCACAGCCCCAGGCCCTCCCACCTTCTGCAGGGGGTTCCACAGCCTTCTTTATACTCTGAATGCAGACTGTCTTAGTATGTAATGCTGGTTATGGTAGTGACAGTATAATTCTATATTCCATCTGTTATGTAATAGTAATGGTAATAGTAGTGATTTGCGTGTGTGGAGCACCTGTAGGGTGCAGGCCCGCTGAGGACCTCATGCACGCTATTGTGGATCACTGTGTCAATGATAAAACTGCCTTTGGGAATGGTAGTGAACTTTCCTAGGGTAGAACAGTAATCCTAGTTTTGAATCCAGATTTTTTTAACATTTTATTTCTAATATGAAGAGTATTTATTTTGTTTTACAATAAAAAAAAAAAGAGTCACATGGTTCAAAAATCAAAACTAGGCAGAGACACACTGTCGCTTCCCTTGCCCACCCCTTCTACCCAGTTTCCCACCTGCCCCCTCTCACTTTTCAGTCTCCTCTGTAACCTCCTTGTTCTCTGGAATGACTATGCTAGTGGTAGCATGTTGCATTACTTGTGTTGCTTATTTTTTTTTACTAACCATATATACTGGAGTACTTTATCAGAGTGTCACTATTTGTTTTTATAAAGTAGCTTACTCTTCAGTGTGCGGATGTGTCTTTTATGTGTTTTTCTTTAGTGAGTCTCTTATTGGTGGACACTTGGTCTTACTGCCACAGTGTTGCTATACAAGTAGTGCTGAGGGTCGGGTGTGGTGGCTCACGCCTGTAATCCCAGCACTTTGGAAGGCCTAGGTGGGCGGATCACCCGAGGTTGGGAGTTTGAGACCAGCCTGGCCAACTTGGAGAAACCCCATCTCAACTAAAAAATACAAAAATTAGCCGGGCTTGGTGGCACATGCCTGTAATCCCAGCTGCTCGGGAGGCTGAGGTAGGAGAATCACTGGAACCTGGGAGGCAGAGGTTGCTGTGAGCCAAGATCGCACCATTGCACTCCAGCCTGGGCAACAAGAGTGAAACTCCATCTCAAACAACAACAATAACAACAAACACAAATAGTGCTGCAGGGCCTGCCCTGGAACACGTGTGCTCCATGTGTGCACGCGTGTGTGCCTGTGCACATGCGCAGGTGGGGATGCACCTAGTGTGGGCTGGTTGTCACCAGGTTGCTCCTGCACAACTTGATTTTTTCTCACCACCAATAGGGATGCTGGTCTCCCTGCCTTGTGTGTGGGCTTTTGGGATTTTGCCTCCTAAAGCACAAGATGGTGATCCTGATGTAGTTTGAACATTTTAAAATATATTAGTATTTAAGGGCCATTTATAGTACTTTTTAATGGGCTCTGTTAAAATGAAATGCAATGGAAATGGAAAAATAACGTGTTCAGTTGCTTCATCGTACCTGTTAAATGAGGTAATACAGCGTAGTACCAGCCATTTTGATGTTTTGAATCTGCGTATTTTCTCTTTTTTTTTTTTTTGAGACGGAGTCTCGCTGTGCTCCCAGGCTGGAGTGCAGTGGCGTGATCTCGGCTCACTGCAAGCTCCGCCTCCCGGGTTCACGCCATTCTCCCGCCTCAGCCTCCCAAGTAGCTGAGACTACAGGCGCCCGCCACCACGCCCGGCTAGTTTTTTGTATTTTTAGTAGAGACGGGGTTTCACCATGTTAGCCAGGATAAGTCTCGATCTCCTGACCTCGTGATCCACCCGCCTGGGCCTCCCAAAGTGCTGGGATTACAGGCTTGAGCCACCGCGCCCGGCCCGTATTTTCTCTTTATTTGCTTTGTTTTTGTCTTATAATATCTCAGTGTTACTCCCAGTCGTTTTTGTTTTGTTTTGTTTTGTTTGTTGCTGTTGTAAAAGAAAACGTTTACTTTCTTACAGGGATCATTGCAAGAGGTCATAGGTTGGGGGTTAATAGGATGGAAATACTATGCCAATGTGATTGGTCCGATCCAGTGCGAAGGCCTGGCCAACCTGGGAGTCACACAGATTGCCTGTGCAGAGAAGCGCTTCCTGATTCTGTCACGCAATGGCCGTGTGTACACACAGGCCTACAATAGTGACACACTGGTGAGTGTTCTGGGCACTGTGCCTGCAGTGTTCCCTTGCGGGGCAGGGTCTGTACTGCAGATGCACAAACTGTGGGGTTTCTTTCAGCCATTTGATTTCTGAAGATTGATTAAGTTTCTGTTTATTGTATATTATGTTTAATAATCTCAGTTTTAATATTGTCAAGATTTGGGTTGTGAAGATTAGGAAGTCCTTACAGTGAAACTCATTGCTAATCATGAGATTTCCGTTTGTAAACTCACTTTACACATGTAAACTCATTTGACTTTGGGGCCAGGCAGGTGACAGATGAGGGAGTTGGGCCTCATGGGGATAGTGGCAGATTGGGACGTGGCATGTTTTCATTAAAGTGCGGTGTTCCTCCCTGTCGGCTGCATGTCTCTGTGGCACGGGGCTAGCCTGCCCAGCCCCCGCATCGGCTCTGGTCCTGCCTGGCCCCCGCATCGGCTCTGGTCCTGTCCCGGCCTCCGCATCAGCTCTGGTCCTGCCGCGGCGCACTTGGAGGCTGCCCGCTGTTCTGTTGGTGCTGGGTGGGAAGGGCTGGAGAGCCGGCCCCGTGGCCCCCAGGGACTTGTGCCCCACTTCCAGTTAGAGCAGGCGTTGCTCGGGGACACATGATAAAGGAGAGCTGCGCTGGTTTCATTTTCCTTGGACTGATGACGACTTTTCTTCATATTTTTCCTTTTTTAGGCCCCACAGCTGGTCCAAGGCCTTGCATCCAGAAACATTGTAAAAATTGCTGCGCATTCTGATGGTCACCACTACCTGGCCTTAGCTGCCACTGGAGAGGTGTACTCCTGGGGCTGTGGGGACGGCGGACGGCTGGGCCATGGGGACACTGTGTATGTATTGCTCATTCCTGTAGGGGACACACTCCTCTTTTATGTTGCCATATCCTAAACAGGCTGGAGCGCAGAAGCGTGTCCAGGTGTTTGCCAGCTGCCCTGATGTGTAGCGCTGGGTTGGAGCGAGACACTACGATATGCCGCCTCCTTGGTGATGGCTTAGGAGCTCTGCCCGTGCGTGGAAGGCAACAGGAATCGGCCTTTCTGCTCTTCTCCACCCCGTGCAGCTTTGGCCGCCTTGTCTCTACTCAAATCGCATCCCCACTGTGGAGTTTGCCAAAACAAATCCCACAGCACTATTCCTTCATTCACAAACAGTTCACCCTGTCTCCCATAGATAAGGTTGTCACCCTTTCCTTGAGCCATTAGATTATTTTTACAGGAACGAAAATCAGCAGTTTCTTCCTAATATTATCCTATTCAGTTGAACCTTTTATTATGAAAGAACAGAAATAAAATAGAAATTTGTTACAAATGCCAGGTTGTAAAAATTGAGAGGTCTGTCAGCCCCATGGAGTGATGGGAACCCTCTTGTACTTTGCTGTTGTGCGTGGAACTCTGGCATTAGGTTTAAATGAAGGATGTATGTACAGACCAACCCAGCAAGCCCATTTCATGCGGTCCAGAGTCCTGAGCACGGAGTGGGCAGTGCAGAGCTTGAAATAAGCCCTTGTGTCCCTTGAGAGGAGCCCGCAGGGCATGGCCAGTGCACACCACAGGGTGGAGTTGAGGGCATCATTGCCGACAGCATCCGCTGGGAAGATCCCAAACTGGGAGAAAAGCAGAGTGATGTGTATTGTGCGGTACATGTATGCCAAGCTCAGAACAGCCCAACCCTGACAGTGTTGTAAGGGATTCAGACAAATGTTGTAAAACGAGTGAAAAAGAAAAGATTGATCTGCATGGAATTTATAGCTGTTACTCTCACACTGGATCCTAAGGGCTGGGATTGACATGGGGTTCACTGGACTTGAAAGGCATCGAAGTACAGGACGGGGTGGTATGTCTGCTTACTTCCTTTATGATATTTATAACTGACTTTGTGTAAAATATTTCGTAGTAAAGCAATTCTCAGTCGAGAGTAAGTGCTGGGATGAGTAACTTATTCCTTGTTCTAGGACTTCAAGGAAGGAAGAGAGATCAGTGCAGATGACAGAAGCTGGAGATAACCTTTTGGGGAAGTTGAAACTTAAGCTGAATAAGGGAGAGGTTGTACTGGAGTAGAGTCATTGGGCTGTCTCTGTGTGCGCCTGTGCCACTGTGTGTGTATTTTGCGAACTAGTAGGTCACAAAGTGAGTAAAACCATGTCTTTGGAGAGGCCTGGCTTCTGTAGATTCTCCAGAAAATGTCATCCGTCATAGGAATATATTCTGAATCCTAAGAATAGGATATTTTGCTAACTTTGCAATTTCTTCGACTAGTAAGACTTCTCTACCCTCATCCCCACTGCCTCATACTTTTCATTTGTAAAGTACAGATTGCCGAGTGCTGGCTTCATTCCATCCACATTCATGTAACAAATACATGTAAGTGTCGGTCGGCTTTATGAGGCTTACATACAACCAGACGACTGAGTTTCGGGTGTAGAGTTGGGTGGGTTTTGGCCAGTGCCCTCAGCTAGGGAGTCACCACCATCAAGACATGGGGCGTGCCCGTCGCGTCCAGGGCCCTGTTTGTACCCTTTGAGTTGATCCCCACTTCCTCCCTCCAGTTCCTGACAACCTCTGCTCTGCCCTGTCTTGTTATTATTTTGTCTTTTCCATAAGTTAATATAAATAAAGCCATACAGTGTATGGTGTTTTATTTCTGGTGTCTTTCACTTAGCTTGATGTCTTGAGATCCAACCACGTTGCTGGGTGTGTGGGTAATTCCTTCCTTCTGTTGCAGATGGACCATGGCTTTTTTTTGGTTTTGTTTTGTTTTTTTTTTTGAGTCTCGCTCTGTTGCCCAGGCTGGAGTGCAGTGGCCGGATCTCAGCTCACTGCAAGCTCCACCTCCCAGGTTCAAGCCATTCTCCTGCCTCAGCCTCCCAGTAGCTGGGACTACAGGCGCCCGCCACCTCGCCCGGCTAGTTTTTTGTATTTTTTAGTAGAGACGGGGTTTCACCAGGTTAGCCAGGATGGTCTCGATCTCCTGACCTCGTGATCCGCCCGTCTCGGCCTCCCAAAGTGCTGGGATTACAGGCTTGAGCCACCGCGCCCGGCCTGGACCATGGTTTTGAGCCATTGTGAATTAAGCTGCAGTGGACTTTACAAGTCTCTTTTTTTTTGAGATGGAGTTTTGTTCTTGTTGCCCAAGGTGGAGTGCAATGGGGCGATCTCAGCTCACTGCAACCTCTGCCTCCTGGGTTCAAGCGATTCTCCTGCCTCAGCCTCCCAGGTAGCTGGGATTACAGTCACCTGCACCATGCCCAGCTAATTTTGTATTTTTAGTAGAGACAGGGTTTCACCATGTTAGCCAGGCTGGTCTCGAACTCCTGACCTCAGGTGATCTGCCTGCCTTGGCCTCCCAAAGTGCTGGGATTATAGGGGTGGGCCACCACCCCCGGCCTATGGTACAAGTCTTTAACAAACACTGTTTTTATATTTCTACTGGATACCATGCTTGGCATCGGGTTCCAACTTAACAAAAAGTCATGGAGGTGTTAGGTTTTGGAATTCTCTCTTCCTTATTTTATAAGGTACCTGGAAGGTGAAACTGGCCTGATGCTGTGATGGTCTAAATTTGGGTAGTGAATTTCCTTTGCTAACACTAATAAGAAATAACACCAAGAAGAAGGGCATTCATGATTGTTCCCTTCCTCCCCAAGGCCTCTGGAGGAGCCTAAGGTGATCTCCGCCTTCTCTGGAAAGCAGGCCGGGAAGCACGTGGTGCACATCGCTTGCGGGAGCACTTACAGCGCGGCCATCACTGCCGAGGGGGAGCTGTACACTTGGGGCCGCGGGAACTACGGCCGACTGGGCCACGGTACGTCTGCCCTGCATGAATGGGAGCATGCAGCAGGAGGTGGCCTCTTACAGGACTTAGTAATGGCCGTCCTATCTCTTTGAAGGCTCCAGTGAGGACGAGGCTATTCCGATGCTGGTAGCTGGGCTTAAAGGACTGAAGGTCATCGATGTGGCGTGTGGGAGTGGGGACGCTCAAACCCTGGCTGTCACTGAGAACGGTATGTAGAGCTCTCGCCACCCAGGACAGGGCCTTGAGGACACGCTTGGCAGCTTCCCTGGAGGAAGTGAGATGAGTACAGTGGGCCTCACGAGGCCGCCCACCCTGTCGTCCAGTGGGTGTGGGATCAGTGGCATTGGTGAAGAGACCCCGGTGATTACTGGGCTTGTTTGCCTGGGGCCTGTCAGCTGGTTAGCAGCTGCCGCCATTCCTGTGTGGGCATTTTGTTTTTTAAGAATGAGAGCTGGAATGGAGTGGTTGACACTGAATTGTCTCTGGTTAGTATTATTACATTTCTTAACGTTCGGCCACTCTTGATTCCGTGTGGTAATTCCCGCTAAGTCTTTCCGTGTTCTGTAGTCTGACGCTGCGGTATCTGCTTGCTTTGAATTTTGCTTTTGTGTTTGTGTTCCTAACTGAGATCATCCTCATCTTTTTTCAAGGGTACACGATGAGGTTTGATGGTTAAAGTCACATTAATTTTTTAGAAACGACGCGTCTGTCAGTATTGTGGGCGTCTGTCCTTGGCATCCTGTGTGTCTCTGGCGTTGTGGAGTCTTTCTGTGAAATCGGCTGGGACCTGTCAGCTTGCTTTCTCTCCTGCAGAAGTTGAATGGCAGTAGATAATTGAGTGACTTTTGGGCATTTCTTAGGTCACAGATGAAAAATCATTTCAGATACTTCCCTATATGTTTAGGTCCCGCTGCCATTGCCGGGACAGACATTGTCAGAGCCATCTTGTTTCTGCTACTGTGAGTCCTAGAGCAAAGGTGGTCTCTGAAAGGCTCCTGCTGCCAAGGAGCTTTCAATTTGACATCTCGTCATTTTAAAATATCTATTATTGGGTGAGTGACAGACCTTAACTGGTTAAAAGTTTTGTGAGGTCTGAGCTGTGTCAGGAGACTAGCCTTGCGTTCTTTAGTGTAGTTGCTACTTTAGTTGAGGTTTGTGATATGTTGAGTAAACTGCCTTGAACAGGCTGCGGACAGCGTCTTCCTCACACTAGTGTTTCTTTGGTGCAGATCTTGTAGGGAAGTGTCCCTGCTGTGCTGTTATTTTCTGAGGTGACTGTTATGGTAGAAGTATCCTACCCTGCAGTCTGGCCTTGGGGGACAGCGGGAAATAGCCAGGCGGGCTACGTGAACAGCATAATCTTCAGCACAGCGTGTGAAAGTGCACCTCTGATCTCTGTGTGCAGGTCTGCTGTGCTGCTTTCATTGACCACGTCATAGTGTGTCATCTCCAGTTTCTGGTTCGCTCGGGGTTGGCCTGCTTTTGCAGGTGGAGTTGTATCGGTGTGCAGGTTTGCCCACTCATTCACGTATTGTCTGTGGCTGCTTTCCTGTGACAGTGGCACAGCTGGGTCATTGGGACAGAAAGCCCACCGAGGCTAAAAATACTTACCGTCTGATCGTTGAGGAAAATATTTGCCTTTCTTTAGTTGTTACAAAATAGAATGTGGGAACTTGTGGAGCAATCTGATATCTTCTCTGGTTTCTTTTTCCTGATCTTTTACAGTTTTCACCTTTATGTAATTTGACTTTTTTGTTGTTGTTGTAAGACAGTTTTGCTCTGTCACCCAGGCTGGAGTGCAGTGGTGCAGTGGTGCAGTCTCGGCTCACTGCAACCTCCACCTCCCGAGGTCAAGCAGTTCTCATGCCTCAGCTGGATTATGGATGTTCACCACCACGCCTGGCTAATTTCTGTATTTTTAGTACAGACAGGGTTTCGCCATGTGGCCCAGGCTGATCTCGAACTCCTGGGCTCAAGTGATCTGCCGGTCCCGGCCTCCTAAAGTGCTGGGATTACAGGCGTGAGCCGCCGTGCCCAGCCTAACAATTTTGTTTTTTAGCAATTCACTTTCATTAAGTTTTTGCATAGTTTTCAGCTTAGTGTTCACAGTAAAAATAAAAATATTTACTTTTGCAATTGCATTTTATCCCTTAATGTAATATTTAGTCAACTTACGTAATTATGCTGATATATGCAGTTGGGAACACATACACTGGTACGGCTGACCAGCGGTCATTATGGTGGCAACAGAAACAGGCAGGCAAACGGGAGGGCAGTCTGCAAGCATCTGCAGTGTGCCGGGCCCCAGTTACTGTGGTTATGGAGGCAGTGGGCCTTTGATTCTGTGAAGCAGTTAACATTGAGCCCAGGCTAGTAAGAGTCAGGACTTGGTTTTTCATGGAATGAAAACAAAAGGAGACTCAGCTTTCCCTTTCTTTATTGCTTCTATACCAACCTCAAGTGTCAACTAGGTTTCATTTGCTCAGTGGCCACCCTTTTAGTGTTAACTATGTACATGAGTGGTCTAGATTAGTGTGCGTTTTTCATTATATTATTTTCAGTCATTTAAAGTTTTTCACTAAAATGCAGAGTTGTTGTTATTTAAATGCATTTGTATTTTTTAGGGCAAGTGTGGTCTTGGGGAGATGGTGATTATGGGAAATTGGGCAGAGGTGGTAGTGATGGCTGCAAAACCCCAAAGCTGATTGAAAAGCTTCAAGACTTGGATGTGGTCAGAGTCCGCTGTGGAAGTCAGTTTTCCATTGCTTTGACGAAAGATGGCCAAGTTTATTCATGGGGAAAAGGTGACAACCAGAGACTTGGACACGGAACAGAGGAACATGTTCGTTATCCAAAACTCTTAGAAGGCTTGCAAGGTGAGTGCAAATGTAAACTGTTAAAACCCTTCAGGACAATTTCTTTAGTAATCTTTTAAAGTTTGCAGGTTTTATGTTCTTAACCTGACTTTCCGTGAATGGACTGTCATTAGAAACTTTGACTGCCAGCTTGGTATAGGTGTTGATACCAATTGGAAAGTGGGTGTGTCTCTATTACAAAATGAGTTGAATTACTCTTCCCAAATGCAACGTAAACCCATTGAGTTTTACAAACATCGCTACTTTCTGTGGCAGGCACCCATGCATCACTCAGCAGGCTGGACTCTGGAAGAGTTCCCTCTATGTGGTGAGGTTACCTGTACTTGTACTGCAGACACACTGAGACCGTGAGGGTGCGTTGTGCTGTGGGGCCACATTGGCAGGTGGGATTGGGCCCACCTGGGACGCTCTGATGTGAACTCGTCCTTGGTGGGGGATTCCTGCTTGCTCAGTTGCAAAGGTGTCCAGCATGCATTGTGGTTGGAGGGAACAGATGGAAGCCGAGGTGTGTAGTTATGAGTGCTGGCGCCTTCAGTGTGGGCTGCGGGTGCAGGCAGAGAGGATGGGAGCCTCCGCAAGAAGACCCTGAAATTCTTCTATGGTGTTCTCACTAGGGATGTTATGCTGCAGGAAGTTGGGGTGCGGGCCATCAAAACTGTGATGGTGGAGGGATTTTTCTAAGGTAAAACTGGACTTTTCTGTACCACTTGGCCTAGTGGTTGGGAGATAGTCTTCATCCTAGTCGAGAACTGGTGAAGGGCAGGCAAGCTGACAAGAAAGTAGGGAAGAAGGGAAAAGGCAGCGAGAGGTACATCAGATGGACTCTTCAGGGTTCTCTCTCTCAGGGGTGGGCGGCCTTTTTCTTAAAGGGCCAGATTGTTTTTGAAGCAGGTGGACCTGGCTGTGTTCCAACACCAGCGTCTTCACAGAAGCAGGCCTTGGGCTGCGCTGTGTGTGGGGGCTGTAGTTCGTTGGGTCCTGGTACTACACACATTCTTTGCGTGTTTGCTTCTTTACCAAATGGGTTTGGAAGTGGAACTTCTAAGTGAGACTTGCCAGTTCCTTTCTCCATTGGTTTTATTTTAACGCATGTTAATATCTCGATGACTGAGAGTTTTGTGTGCCCATACGGTATGTATTATGTTCTGAGCTTCTGAGATAAGTGGCAGAGTACTAAGTTTCCTCTGTGTCGTTGAATGGTGTTTGAATTTCACGTGCCTTCTTGTTTATATTCCCCTCCATTAGTGTAGGAAAGCTACGATGGTCATTATAGAAATCTTTTACTTTCAGAGTATTTACATTACTGTTGAAAAACACTTTTTTTTCTTGCTGATGTTAACTTATGGTAAGTTCCCAGGATAGAATTGTTCCCCTTACGGTTTTTCAGCTGAATTGTTTTATATGTTGACCTTTCTGAGCAACACCCTTTGTGTTGACCGTGTTTGATTTACCAGCAAGGAAAAATAGAATATTTTGCTAAGTGTTTAAATAGAAACAATGTTTTAAATATTGATATCACCTGACTCTGAGAGAACAATAGGTTTTTCTTAGGAAGCCTTCCTCAGTGAAGAGTGTGCTGTGCATTGTTACATCTGGGATGGGAGAATATGATCTAATAGTTAATTAAAAGCACATTGTTTCTCTCTGAATGAGAATCTGAATGAGGAGGAGAAAAAAGAACAGATCGTTTTTCGTATCCTAGCATTATGATTTTTGTAGGCTGTGGGTCCTAACAAATTGTAGCTGACAAAATAGAGGAGTTTTAATAACACACCCAAAGCAAATGAATTGTGCTTAATATTAAAGCAACAGGTTACCCTCAAGAAGTTAATGTTAAAAGCTCTCTGGCCTGAATGGCCGAGTGGAAATACCTTTGTTGCAGCAGAAGTCCCAGGCTTGAAGCTGCATCTGCAACCCTCTTTCCTTGTAGGGAAGAAGGTGATTGATGTGGCTGCCGGCTCCACCCACTGCCTGGCTCTGACTGAGGACAGCGAGGTCCACAGCTGGGGGAGCAACGACCAGTGCCAGCACTTTGACACCTTGCGCGTGACCAAGCCAGAACCTGCAGCATTGCCGGGACTGGACACCAAACACATAGTGGGAATTGCCTGTGGGCCTGCCCAGGTACGGAATATAGAGCTTGATTTGGTGTTTTGGAGGATTTTGGTTTCCAGTTGTTCATTACCAATATGTAGAAAATACCACTGAGTTTTGTTTGTTGCTCTCGTGTCCTGCAGTTGTGCTAAACTCATTTGTTATGAGCATCATTGTAGTTTCCTTGAGTTTTCTTCATGAACAATTATACTGTCTGTATAGAAGGGCAGTTCCATTTCTTCCTTTCCAATCTGCTTGCCTTTTATATCTTTTCCCGGCCTGATTGCCCTGGCCAGGACTTGCAGTGTGAAGCTGAGTAGGAGAGGTGACAGTGGGCGCCCCGCCTTGCTCCGGACTGTAGGGGAATGCAGTTCAGTCTTTCACCATCGGCTGTGATGTTGGCTGCGGGTGTTTATGTAGATGCCTTATTCCCAGATTAAGGCAGTTTCTTTAATTCCCCCTTTTAGAAGCTTTTAAAAAATCCTGAATGGATGTTACAATTTGTTAAATGCTTTTAATCTTCTCAAATGAAATGGTCATGCAGTTTTCCTTCTTTAGTGTGTTAGTATGGTGTATTACATAGATGATTTTTACTTTTTTTTTTCTTAAACATTTTTTTTTTCCTTTCTTAGAGATGGAGTTTCACTATGTTGCCCAGGCTGGTCTTTAACTCCTGAGCTCAAGTGGTCTACCTGCCTTGGCCTCCCAAAGTGCTGGAATTACAGACGAGAGACACTGCACTGGCCTGATTTTTAAATACTGACCAAGCCTTGTGTTACTGGCGTAAACATCACTTGGCCACAATTTACTACTCTATTTCTTTTTTTTTTTTTTTTCCTGAGATGGAGTCTCGCTCTATCACCCAGACTGTAGTGCATTGGTGCAATCTCAGCTCTCTGCACCCTGTGCCTCCTGGGTTCAAGCAATTCTCCTGCCTCAGCCTCCTGAGTAGCTGGGATTACAAAATACAAAATTTTTGTATTTTTTTGTTTTTTAGAGATGGGGTTTCACCATGTTGGCCAACCTGGTCTCCAACTCCTGACCTCACATGATCCACCCTCCTTGCCACCCCAAAGTTTTGGGATTACGGGCGTGAGCCACCGCGCCCGGCCCCATTCTGTTTCTATATTGTTAAATTTGACTTGCTAACATGTTGTTGAGGATTTTTCTGTCGATGCTTATCAGGGATGTTGGTTTGTGGTTTTTTTCTTTGTATTATACTATCTTGTCTGACTTTCAGTGGGGAAAGCTGACCTCATACAAAGTATTGGCATGTGTTCCCTCCTTTTCCATTTCCTATAGGGATTGTGTAGAATTAGTGTTATTTCTTCTTTACATGTTTTTGAATCCATCTGAGCCTGGAGATTTCTTTCTAAAAGATTTTACGCCGGGCGCGGTGGCTCACGCCTGTAATCCCAGCACGTTGGGAAGCCGAGGCGGGCGGATCACCAGAGGTCAGGAGTTTGAGACCAGCCTGGCTAACATGGTGAAACCCCGTTTCTACTGAAAATACAAAAAATTAGTTGAGCTTGGTGGCATGCGCCTGTAGTCCCAGCTACTCAAGAGGCTGGGGCAGGAGAATCGCTTGAACCCGGGAGGCGGAGATTGCAGTGAGTCGGGATCGCGCCACTGCACTCCAGCCTGGGCAATAAGAGCGAAACTCCGTCTCAAAAAAAAAAAAAAACAAGGCAAACAAACAAAGAAAAGATTTTTCAACTTCAATTTCTTTAATCGATATAGAACTATTCAGGTGACCTGTTTGTTTCCAGGAGGATTTTCCTGGTTTGTGGCACTCAGACATTGCTTTACTTCATCTGTGTTGTCTGATTTGTACGTGTCAGGTTTTCCTTAGTATTCTCCTGCTAAACATCTGAAGCCTGTGGCGCCTGCGGTGATGTCCCTTCATTCATTCCTGATACTGATAATTTGTATCTTTTCTGTTTTTTTCTTTGTCAGTTTTTCTAGCATTTTTCAATTTTGTTGATCTTTTCATAGAACAATCTTTTAGTTTTATTAGTTGTTCCCTTGTTTTTTTTGCTTTCAATCTCATTGATTTCTGCTTTTATCTTGTCATTTGTCCCTTTGGCTTGTTTTGTGTTCACTTTGGTCTTTTTCTAGTTTCTTAAGTTGGAAACGTAGATTGCTGATTTAGACTTACCTTTTTTTGTAATATATAATGATTTGATGCTGTAAATTTTCCTCTAAACAGTGCTTTAATCAAACCCACACATTTTGGTGTGTTTCAATTTATGTTCAAAATATTTTGTAATTTCTCTTGAGAATTATTTTTTGATCCATGGATTATTATTACTATTTTTTTTTTCTGAGCTGGAGTTTCGCTCTTGTTGCTCAGGCTGGAGTGCAGTGGCCTGATTTCAGCTCTCTGCAACCTCTGTCTCCCGGATTCAAGCGATTCTTCTGCCTCAGCCTCCTGATTAGCTGTGACTACAGGTGCCCGCCACCATGCCTGGCTAATTTTTTTGTATTTTCAGTAGAGATGGGGTTTCTCCATGTTGGCCAGGCTGGTCTTGAACCCCTTGCCTCAGGTGATCCCCGCACCTTGGCCTCCCAAAGTATTGGTATTACAGGCGTGAGCCACTGTGCCCGGACTGACCCGTGGATTATTAAGTATGTTGTTCAGTTTTTAAGTGTGTGTAGATTGTTCTGTTCGTGATTTCTAGTTTAATACCATTGTGAATGGAGAGCAAACTGTATATGATTTCATTTCTTTTAAATTTGTTAAGATTTGTTTTATGTCTCAGGATTGTTCTCTCTTAGCGAACATTCTGTATGTGCTTAAAAAGTATATGTATGGCTGGGCGCGGTGGCTCACGTTTGTAATCCTAGCACTTTGGGAGGCTGAGGCAGGTGGATCATGAGGTCAGATGATGGAGACCATCCTGGCTAACATGGTGAAACCCTATCTCTACTAAAAATAAAAAAAAAATTAGCCTGGCTTGGTGGCGGGCACCTGTAGTCCCAGCTACTTGGGAGGCTGAGGCTCCAACTTGGGTGACAAAGCGAGACTCCGTCTCAAAAAAAAGAAGAGTGTATGTATTTTGCTGTATTTCGCTGTTGTTGGCTGAAGTGTTGTATAAATTAGATCCAGTTTATTGATGGTGTTCTGCAGTTCTCGTAGATCCTTGCCGATTGCTTGTTCTCTCACTGTGAAAGGTAGTGTGTGAGCTCTATGCATCTAACAATTGATTGTCTAGTTAGAGTTGCTGTTATACCACTTCAAGTGGATGGAGATCCTCACTGCCGTCCATTAATGTGCATTAATCATTTTGAGAGTGAAAAGATTGTTAAAAATGCTTTTACTTTTTTAGATATGGCCAAATGAGATGGGGCTATTGAAATGGGGGGGAAGATTAGAAGCTGACAGTGTGTGACCTAGACACCCATGAATGCCTTTGGACTGGGCGGTTAGAGGGATGATAGGTGATAATATAAGGCGGCTCCATCACACATGCTGGGGACTCCTGTGGAACAGACCAGCAGCTGCTTTTGGAGATTCATTTTAGATTGTTGCGTTTCCTCTTAGAGCTTTGCCTGGTCATCGTGTTCTGAGTGGTCCATTGGCCTCCGTGTCCCTTTTGTGGTGGACATTTGCTCAATGACTTTTGAGCAGCTGGATCTCCTGCTGCGGCAGGTGAGGGAGGGGATGGACGGCTCCGCGGACTGGCCCCCGCCCCAGGAGAAAGAGTGCGTGGCCGTGGCAACGCTGAATCTTCTACGACTTCAGGTATTCATGATTTCCCTTCTTCTTGCTCCTTTTATAAGTGACTTAGGAGTTTGTAAGAAGGCTTATGTATTTTGAAGGGCATGGGTTTTAGCCTGTTCAGTGAAGTATTTTAAAGTAAGATTGTAATGCGCTAATAATGGACGTGAGGCTAAAAAACGTGATCTGGGCCGGGCGCGGTGGCTCACACCTGTAATCCCAGCACTTTGGGAGGCCAAGGCGGGTGGATCACGAGGTCAGGAGATCCAGACCATCCTGGCTAACACGGTGAAACTCCATCTCTACTAAAAATACAAAAAATTAGCCGGGCGTGGTGGCAGGTTCCTGTAGTCCCAGCTACCCCGGAGGCTGAGGCAGGACAATGGCGTGAACCCGGGAGGCGGAGCTTGCAATGAGCCGAGACTGTACCTGTGGCAGCTTTTTTGGTTACATTGTGGCCATTATTTCTGTGTTTGGTGCAGGTTGTTGGGGTGGGGTGGAGGTTGCTGTTGCTAGTTATTTAGCTCTTCTGCTCATCTTGAGCTTTTCCATATACATGTTTATAGTGGGGTTAAAAAAATTCCTCTAGAAAATACTTCAGCTATTGTGGGTAAGAGGTTTTTTAGTCCAGTTTTTAAAAATACATAAACTGAGAAGTTGGTTGTTTAAATAATACTTCAAAGTGAGTTTTATTCAGTGTTTAATAAGACTTTGAAATTCATTCATTTTGAGGGGTTCTAAGTGAAAATTGTTTTTCTCCTTTCAGTTGCATGCTGCCATTAGTCACCAGGTTGACCCGGAATTCCTTGGTTTAGGTCTGGGCAGCGTCCTCCTGAACAGCCTGAAGCAGACGGTGGTGACCCTGGCCAGCAGCGCGGGCGTACTGAGCACCGTGCAGTCGGCCGCCCAGTCCGTGCTGCAGAGCGGCTGGTCCGTGCTGCTGCCCACCGCCGAGGAGCGGGCCCGGGCACTCTCTGCTCTCCTGCCCTGCGCAGGTGGGCTTGGGGAAGGAACAGGAGAGGGCATGGGTCAGGGTGCTGGGAGGGGATGGCATTTCACTCAAATTGGCACGCACTTTCTATTTCAGTTTCAGGCAATGATGTGAACATAAGTCCAGGTCGTCGATTCATGATTGATCTTCTGGTGGGCAGCTTGATGGCTGATGGAGGGTTGGAGTCAGCCTTACACGCAGCCATTACTGCAGAGATCCAGGTATGGCCTTGGAGGCACACGTGACCTGGTGGTGCTCTGAGATAGGATATACCACATTCACACATGTGAAGAATAACTGAAAATAGTAAAACACTAAACTTTTATCATATCCAAGTATTTTTTTTAAATTAAAATTATTTTATGTGCTAATTTAAACAATTATTGAGATATGATTTAATTGTGATGAAATCCTGCATGTTGTCTGTTTCAGTGAATTTAACAGGTAACTTGTTCATCATGTAGACCATTCCCGTCACCCGGAAAGATCCCTGTGCCCCTTGGCACTCGCAGCCAGGGCGCTCCCCTGCCCTCAGAGGAGATTCATTTCCCTGCTCTGAGTGTTGCAGCAATGTAACTGCAGAGGCTGCACTCTTTCGTGCGTTGCCGTGGAGAAGGATTTTCAGATTCACTCACACTGTTGTGTGTCTTGTGACTTGGTTTTTATTATTGGGAAGTTTTCCATTTTATAGGTGTAGTGCTGGTTGTTAGTTCATTCTTTCACTGAATGACATGAATTCATTTTTGGTTTGTATTCTTTTTTTTTTTTTTGAGACAGCCTCTCCTGTCCCAGGTGGATGAGTGTGAATGTTCAGCAGCCCTTGTCTCCTCGCTCAATGATCTCCCACTCACTCTGTGTCAGGACCACAGCGTGTCACATGCCCGGCTTTATTTTTGATTTTTTGTAGACAAGTTTCAGTGTGCAGCGTGTTCGAACTCCTGGTAGGATCCCCAACCATTTTTTTTTTTTTTTGGCTTTCCCATAGTGTTGGGATTACAGAGGTGATGCCACCGCGCGCCAGCTTTCTGGTTTTTGCCGCTGAGCTTGCCATGATTGTCGTGTACAAGTACTCAGTGAGCATATGTTCTCCCACTTAGGAAACACTTGGAGTGAATTATTGGTCCTTGGGGTCCGTGTTGTTCATAGTTCCAAGAGTGGCCTTTGCCATTTATCATTGAACCAGTGCTGTGTGAGAATTACAGCCAGCTTCTTACCTCACAAAAGCAGCTGAAGCGTGTTGTGGGGCGGAATCACATGGTGTTTGTGAGACAGCCAAGTAGACAAGGGGTTAAGATTTTAGGACTTTCACAGAAGGAGGTGGGAGAGCGTCAGCAAGGCAGGCCTGGACCTATGGATCGTAAAAAGAAGACAACCTGTTTTGAAACTGCAACAGCTGAGTTGGGGTTTCCAACAGGGCAGGTGGGGTCCTGTGAGAGGATGTGGGGTGAGCACAGAGTCGGATACGTGCCTCTTGTTCAGGGCTCAGCCAGCTGTGTGCCTTCTTCACAGCTGCATGAACACTATGTAAACAGCTTTTTGCCACCTACCACAATTACAGGAGAGTTGAAGCCAAAAAAAGAAGCCACACCACAGGAAACAAGAAAATGATGAACAGAAGCGAAGCCTCAACGCTTTCACAGCAGAAGGCCGACTCCATGCGATAAAGAACTTTATTTAATACCGCCGAAGCGATCCTCGTGATCCTTCTGGCAAACAGGTTTGGCCTCTCGGTTCGCTCATACACACAGCTTCTTAGGAAATCGATTAGCAGCATTGTAGTGTGATTTTATTTATTTACGCTTTTTTTTTTTTTTTTTGAGCAGCTTTCGCTCTTGTTGGCCAGGGTGAGGCGAGTGCAATGGCAAACGCATCTTGGCTCCACCGGCAACCTCCACTTCCCGAGTTCCATAGTGATTCTCCTGCCTCAGCCATCTCAAGCCCAGCTGGGTATTACAGGCGTGCGCCACCACACCCGGCCTGAATTTTGTATGTTAGGTAAGGATGGGTGTCTTCATGGTGGTCAGGCTGGTCTGGAACTCCAGACGTCAGGTGATCTGCCCGCATTGGCTTCCCAGGCATGAACCACCACGCCCGGCCTATTTATTTACTTATTAATTTTTTTAAATTTTTATTTTCTGAGACGGGGTCTCACTCTGTCACCCAGGCTGGAGTGCAGTGTCATGATCTTGGCTCACTGCAACCTCTGCCTCCTGGGTTCAAGCACTTCTCCTGCCTCAGCCTCCCAAGTAGCTGGGACTACAGGCGTCCGCAACCACACCTGGCTGATTTTTGTATTTGTAGCAGAGACGGGGTTTCAAAATATTGGTCAGGCTGGTCTCAAACTGTTGACCTCAGGTGATCCATCTGTTTTGGCCTCTCAGAGTGTTGGGATTACAGGCGTTAGCCACTGTGCCTGGCCTGTATTGTGTTTTAATAGGTGATTATTGGTTTTCATATTAAGATCTTGAAATCTACACAAGGATCTCAAAAATTTGTTTGGTGATGGAGGGAATATTCTGAAAATTACCTAGTACAGATGTTAGGATAAAGAGCAGACCCTTTTCAACGTAGGTAAGAGGAGAAGTTGGAGGGTATGATGATACTCAAAAGTTTTTCACAGAAGAGAAATTGAGGTGTGCAGTAAACATGTAAAAAGATTCTTAGTAATAAGCAGGTGGATGCAAATGAAAATCATCATGGGAAGGTTATTTTTAAAACTGGTTCTATCATTGCCTCACTTTACATATTACAGCATTATACATACTACTGTGTAAGATAACTTTTCTTTTCAAAACTAAAGTCAGTGTGAAAGAATGATGAGCATTGTTTTGTAAGGCCAGACTAGGAGGAGGTGGGAAGAAGTCAGACTCAGCCTGTGAACAGAGGCTAACCTTGGCAGAAGCCAAAACGGTCAGACAGTGTTGTGTAAAAGGGATCACTCAAGAAGAGCGGAAAAGCAAGATGATTTGTGAAAGAGATTTATTAGAAAATGAAACACATTTGTACCTCTTATTTAATAAAAATCTGCTTTTTGTAAACTTAGGCTCTGGTTTTAGTTTCTACACATAGAGAAAGCAAAGAACTGGCAGGTTGGATCAGGCGGCCGAGCACAGAGCAGGGAGCCCTGGGCAGTGGCCGCAGCTCTCAGCTGGCCTGGTCATGGGGCCGTGGTGGGTCTGTGGCGTGGGGTGGCCCTGCTGTCCACAGCCAGAAAAACGAACTTAGTGGACGCACCGTGGAATTTTGAAATGGGAAGTTTTAAATACTATTTTGAAAAACGTTTTTCTGGTGTTTGTTTTGTTTTTCTAATCTGATAATGCATATTTCACACATTCTGGTCTTTAACAAATGGAAGTAAAGAGAACTAAACTTAATATAGTTTGTGTTAATGGAAAGATCTTGGGATTTGTTCTCAGAAAATTTCAGTTGCAACAGCTTGCTCGCATAGATGAACTTCCAACACAGTGACTATAGGAGTAAGAATAAAAGCTGTGTTTACTTTCACAGAGTTCATTAAGAATAAAGGAGAACATGGATATTAAAAACTTCGTAATTAAAATGTAAAGTTACTTGCAAAGTTTTAAAGTGAGCATTTTTCAGAGGTGCTTTTCTAGGTTCTTGAATGCCTCTCCATTTTCTGAGGCTGTGTCATGGGCTGTTGGTGTCTTTGGCAGGGAGTGAGTGCAGGGTTCCTGTTGTGGGTCCTTTGTTCTCACGAGGGCAGTGCCCGTTTTCCCCATCTCCTGCTTGCTCAGACTGTTTCCATGTGCAGAGAGACTGGCCTGTTTGGCCTGCAGCTGTGCTGTTTGAGCTGCAGCTGTGCTGTTTGAGCTGCAGCCGTGTAGCCTGCGCTGGCCAGTCTGGCCGCACTCACACAGTTTGCTGATCAGCACTTGAAGTGTGTCCATCGTAGCTGAGACACTGAATATTTTATCTGTTTAATTTTTATTAATTAAAATGCAGGTTTAAAAACTTGATTCCATTATTAGAAAGCATTTAAGTATGTTTAGAATAACTTGGCCATGTGAGTCTACTTCGTCAACTGTATAGTTTATGAGTCTATATGCAGATCAGATATTTTCAATGCAAATTTCATTGTCCAAATTGAAATGTGCTACATATGTAAGCTACCCCGATGGTTTCTGAGGACTTATGAAATAACCTATGTAAAATATCTCAACAATTTTTCTTATATTGATTTCATGTTGAAATGATAATGTTTTCAATCTGTTGGGATAAGTATGATGCATTGTTAAAATTATTTTTATTTTTTGAGATGGAGTCTTGCTCTGTTGCCTAGGCCAGAGTACAGTGACATAATCTTGGCTCACTGCAACCTCTGCCTCTTGGGTTCAAGTGATCCTCCTCCCTCAGCCTCCCCAGCAGCTGGGACTACAGGCGTACACCACCACACCTGGCTGATTTTTGTATTTTTGTGGAGACAGAGTTTACTATGTTGGCCAGGCTGGTCTCGAACTCCTGACCTCAAGTAATCTGCCCACCTTGGCCTCCCAAAGTGCTAGGATTGCAGGTGTGAGCCACCGTGCCTGACCATTATTAAAATGAGTTTTATTTGTGTGTGTGTGTGTTTTTTTACTTTTATTAATGTGACTAGGAACAATTTTTTTTTTCCGCCCGAGATGGAGTTTCACTCTGTTGCCTGGACTGGAGTGCAGCGGCACAATCTCAGCTCATTGCAACCTCTGCCTCCTGGGTTCAAATGATTCTCTTGCCTCAGCCTCCTAAGTGGCTGGGACGTCAGGTGCATGCCACCATACCTGACTAATTTTTGTATTTTTAGTAGAGATGGAGTTTCCGCATGTTGGCTAGGGTGGTCTTGAACTCCCATCCTCAGGTAATCTGCCCGCCTTGGCCTCCAAAAGTGTTGGGTTTACAGGTGTGAGCCACCGCACCTGGCCATGTTTATTAAGACAGCTAAGAACATGTTGAATTGCACCTGTGGCTCCATTGGTGTCCTGGGCAAGTGGCTGTGTGCTGTCCACATAGGTTGTCTCCTGTGTCTTCATCTTCGCTGTGTGTGACTTTTTGGTTCCTTTGGCACGTGGGGTCCTGTATGGGTCATTGATTCTACAGCAGATTTATAATAAGGCTGTACTTACTTAAAAAATACAAAATAAAAAGAATAGAAACAAACATAGTTATCACCTCACAAAATTTTTGGAAAGTAGAAAAAGAAAAATGCATTCACAACTTTTCAGTAGCCAATAGTCCAGGCTGTCTTCATAAGCATGGATAATGTGTCCCTCTCCTGCATGGACAGACACTGTTTTCTCACCTAAGTGTTTGTGATTGAAGGATTCTTGATGTGTTGACTTGGCGGATGCAGTTGTTGAATAGTAGTTTATCTAAAGATTGGAAGAGATTTTTGGAGACATTTCATGTCCTTTTTTCCCTTGGAAAACGTGGGTTGAGGAAATCACTGCTTGCCAAAAATAAGCCGTGAAGTTACATGCTGGCAAGGAGCCACAGAATACCATTTACATTTCAAAATAAAGCGCTGTGAAGTTTTTATAAGTAGTGAACCCCATCAGAATTACACATTGTGATTATGGCTCCAAGTTTTATATTAAATAAAATTTTATTGTATTTTATTACTGTCTTTACTCCTTCAGGTGTAGCTTACAAGCTAGATTCTAGCCCTGTTTCTTGTGTTACAGTGGGGTTATCCAGGCAGGTTATCAGGTACTGAGGCTGAAAGGTGATGTTGAATGGTGTGGTGAGCCCAGTGAGGGCGCATCCTTGCTGTGTGTGATGAGGGCCTGTGGGTGGCTGTGGGATTCCCAAACCCTGGCTCCTCTGTCTCCTGCTTCGGTCCTTACTCACACTGCTGGTAGTTTTCTCGTGTGAGCCACAGGGCCAAGTGGGATTGACAAGCCTGCTGTCACATTAGGAACCTGAGTTAAAGTGGAGCTGAAAGCATGTCCTCGCTCTTGGTGTTGTGCAGAGAGCCACTTGTGCTCCTGGCTCAACGGGGCAGGTGGAGTGGGTCTGGAACCAGGCCCTGGTTTGGCTCTTCTCCCCTCCATGTTCCCCTGTCCTGTCAGATTTGCTTTCACAGTGATATAAGAGTTAACTTTCCTTAGGCTGGGTACGGTGACTCACGCCTATAATCCCAGTGCTTTGGGAGGCTGAGGTGGGCGGATCACAAGGTCAGGAAATCGAGACCATCCTGGGTAACATAATGAAACCCCATCTCTACTACAAAAGAAAAAAAAAAATACAAAAATTAGCTGGCCGTGGTGGCACATGCCTGTAATCCCAGCTACTCAGGAGGCTGAGGCAGGAGAATCGCTTGAACCTGGGAAGCAGAAGTTGCGGTGAGCTGAGATAGTGTCACTACACTCCAGCCTGGCCACAAAGCTAGACTCCATCTCAAAAAAAAAAAAAGAAGTTACTTTCCTTAAACACACAAAGTGTTATTTTCCTTTCATAACCTTGGTGGGTTGGCATTGCAGACTCTGGTCCCGCAGCCTGACACTCCCATTACCTGCACCATCTCTCCCTTGCTTCCTTGTCTTGTTCTCCTGCCCTTGTTTCTTGGTGTTCTGCTAAGGAACCAGAAACATTGACTGCTCTCCTAACTGTACCTTCTGGGAACGTATGTTTCTTCTCTTTTCTTATCTGCCAATGGCTCATGGCTCAAGTCACATCACAGTGTTGGAACTGGAGCCTCTTCTACTTTGTTTGCTGCCGTGCTCTTTGGGCACCTGCTTTGGTCTTCCTTCCCGGACTCCCTGAGCCCTGAGTACCTGCTGCATGGCCCACCCCAGTGCTGCTTGCGAGTAAGGGCTCAAGGTGGACTTGCAAGGCAGATGCGGCAACGCAGACGAGTCTTGTCTTGAAGAGTAGTATCACATTTCTGTTTGAAATGCAGCTTTGGACAACAAATAATGACACTGTTTTTTCTTTCTAGAGGGTCAGATATTTCTATATTAGCCTCCCCAAGATTTTAAGTTTCGTTGTCTTAATGTTTACATTCCTTAGACATTGGGTATACAGAAGTACTCCTTTTGAAGCAAGATCCTCTGCAGTTTGGACCCCTGCACGCAGCTCCGTAGGTGCACGTTATTGAGGCACGAGGGCATCATTATCTCTTTTGAGTCTTCCGTGCCCTTCTGCTCCGTTTTGGCTGAGGTTGTGCTTATTGCATATAAACCGGACACATTTGGGGAGGGAAGCCAGCTGCAGGCCATCTTCATGTATGATCTGTGTTCGTGATGTTGGTTTGTCATGATTTACCCCATCCCTTTTTCTTTTAAATATAAATAACTTGTTTAATTTTGTAATCCTCTTTTTTCCTGTGTAGAAACATTGCTTCTCAGACTGTGGCCAGATTGAAGGATGTTGCCCGTCGGATTTCATCATGTCTGGACTTTGAGCAACACAGTCGTGAAAGATCTGCTTCACTGGATTTGTTGCTGCGTTTTCAACGTTTGCTTATTAGTAAACTTTATCCAGGAGAAAGTATTGGTCAGATCTCAGATATTTCTAGTAAGTTGCTTAAAATGTGAAAGTGTCTTGTATGTGATCGAGGCTTAATTTAGGCTGTTCAACGTGTCCATCCTATATGCCCAGATGTGTAGTTGTTATACTACTAAATGCACCAATTTTGAGGCTTCATTTTGCCTCCACTTTTTTGAGTCAGACCCTTTTGTGTTAGCCTCGTTAACATTTTTAATTTTGTTGTCTTAATATTTAAATTCTTTAGACATCAGTAATAGCATCCTGTAAGTTCAGTTTAGTCTTAGAGAAGATTTATCAGGTTTGTTCCTTGTGCTATGGAATGCTGGAGACTGGCATGATGTAGGAAGTAAACAGTGGCAGCCTATTCATATGTCTCATGTGGGAGCCAGCTGGGTGGAATGGGAAGAATTGTTGAAGGAAGACTGGGTTTCAGTTACAGCTCTGCTTAATAGTTTAGACATTAGACCAAGTCTGATGGGGCCAAAGACTTCTCACCTGCAGACTTGGGATGATCCCTGAGGCAGCCTGTGAGGATCAAGAATAGAATGTGTGTAAGTACTCAGTGCTGTGCACTGTCGAGGGAATGGTTCCCCTCCTCGAGCATCCAGGGCAGCGGCTGGCCCTCCTTCATGAGACTTTCTGTCAAGGATGGAAGGGTCTGCTGCTTCCATTAGTATCTTTGTAGCTGTTTTTTTTTCCCAAAGTAACTTAATTACTTTCTGAAGAGTTAGGCTCTTGTCAATAATGGAAACTTTCAGGTTTTAGTAGATGAGTTGATAGCTTGAAAGAGAAAGAGGTGACCATCTTAAAGACAAAGTCACAAGGACTGAAAAGCTATTAAGAACCATGTAGGAGGCCGGGCGCGGTGGCTCACGCCTGTAATCCCAGCACTTTGGGAGGCCCAGATGGGCGGATCACAAAGTCAGGAATTCAAGACCAGCCTGGCCAACATAGTGAAACCTTGTCTCTACTAAATATACAAAAAATTATTTGGGTGTAGTGGCAGGTGCCTGTAGTCCCAGCTACTCTGAAGGCTGAGGCAGGAGAACTCCGTCTGAAAAAAAAAAAAAAAAAACTGAAAAGAACCATGTAGGCAGAAAAACTGAAGATGATTTTTTTTTTTTTTTTTTTTTTTGAGACGGAGTTTTGCTCTCATTGGCCAGGCTACAGTGCGGTGGCGCAATCTTGGCTCACTGCAACCTCCGCCTTCTGGTTTCAAGAGATTCTCCTGCCTCAGCCTCCCAAGTAGCAGGGATTACAGGCGCCCGCCACCATGCCCAACTGATTTTTTATTTTTTATTTCTAGTAGAGACAGGGTTTCACTGTGTTGGTCAGGCTGGTCTCAAACTGCTGACCTCGTGATCCACCCGCCTCGGCCTCCCAAAGTGCTGGGATTACAGGCGTGAGCCACTGCCCGACAAAACTGAAGATTTTATGGAGCAGAAAAGTGCCTAACTTTGTTTTCTGGGAATAATTTACAAGCTTTTAGGAAACATTTATGTACTAGATATAAAGTTTAAAAAATTTAGAGCTGGGCGTGGTGGTGCATGCCTATAGTTCTAACTACTCAGGAGGCTGACGCAGGAGGATCACGAGCCCAGGGGTTCGAGTCCAATCTGGGCAACATAGTGAGACCCCGTCTGTAAAAAAAACAAAACAAAACAAAAACCTTAAATTAAATGATGACTTTAGTATTTATACACCCAAAATTTCCAGGTACTCTGTAGTGCAGGGTATAAAACTTGACATAAAAATACTGCCCCTCCAGTTACATGATATAGAAAGAGCCCAAAGACTAAGGGTTAACAGGCTCCTGTTTGAGAAAATTATTATGGGTAAAAGATGTGTAGATGAGAGTAGCATCATGGAGCAGTTAGTTTGTTTACAGAGAAAAGTTTTAATAGTGAAAATGAAAATTTCTCAATCCTTCTTCAAGGTCCAGAGCTAATGGGCGTTGGTTCCTTGCTGAAGAAGTACACAGCCCTTCTGTGCACACACATTGGAGATATACTGCCTGTGGCAGCCAGCGTTGCTTCTACCAGCTGGCGGCACTTCGCAGAGGTGGCTTGCATTGTGGAAGGGGACTTTACAGGTACCTTTGTTTCCTGCTTGTGTACATGGTTATTTTAGGAGATAGATGAAAGCTGAAGTGTCTTCTTTCCTGATCAGCCTGCCTGCGTTTACTCTCTAAATTTTCTGGTCCTCCTGCCCTTTCACCTTTGTTTTTTTTTAGTTATTGACAGTTCTGTTGTTAAGCCAGCTGGTATGGGACTCATATCACTTTAAATATAATTGGTAATTTAGATTTATACTTCCATTATTGATATGTCAATAATGAGGTCAGTGGTAATTGTCTAATTTTATTTTGACAGCGTAATAAAAATTAGGTACCTCATTAAGGATCTCAAAAATTCTGATACTACCTGGTATGTTTTAACTTTTTGAGGTTAGAGCATTATTTTTTAGTGTTTTTTTCCTGATGATGAACATATCACTAAACATTTAATTTTCTGAATAGGAGACTCTAGTTCATAGTTCTGTGATTGAAATACAGTGTTTTGGAAAATATTTTTGTAATTTAAAGGGTTCTGTTTGATAGCTATACCGGTCTCGATATAAAATGTAAGATAGTCCTGTAGAAATATGCTGAAGGACAAACATTTCTTATTTTGTGACTTAGCAGAATTTAAACACAGAACAAGTTTACAAATAGCTTTTATAGGATAAATACTTATTTAAATCTTATTATTTCTTAAATGTAGGTGTTCTCCTTCCAGAACTAGTAGTTTCTATAGTGCTTCTGCTCAGTAAAAATGCTGGTCTCATGCAAGAGGCTGGAGCTGTACCTCTGCTGGGTGGCCTGTTGGAACATCTGGATCGGTTCAACCACCTGGCTCCAGGAAAGGAACGGGATGATCATGAAGAGTTAGCCTGGCCTGGCATAATGGGTACGGCGTCTTAAAGGACTTTTACTGAGGAAAGTTTTATTGTCCTTGTCTTACCTATTCTTGCTGTTCAATTTGAAAGAATACAAAGGAAGATCAATTATTTGCCATTTCTACTGATGGTAGTATAAGTGAAAAAAGATAATCCAAATCAGAAGAAATGTGGGTCATATATATATTACCCAAATATGTGTGTGTGTGTGTGTGTGTGTGTGTCTGTGTATATATTATCTGTCTGTCTGTCTGTCTGTCTGTCTATCTATCTATCTTTTTTTTTGACACTACATCTTGCTCTGTTGCCCCGGCTGGAGTGCAGTGTCATGATCTCAGCTCACTGCAACCTCCGCCTCCGGGGCTCGAGTGATTCTTCTGCCTCAGCCTCCTGAGTAGCTGGGACCACAGGTGCATACCACCGTGCCCAGCTTACTTTTGTATTTTCAATAGAGACGGGGTTTCACCATGTTGTCCAGGATGGTCTCGAACTCCTGATCTCAAACGATCCACCCGCATCTGCCTCCCAAAGTGCTGGGATTACAGGAATGAGCCACTGTGCCTGACTATATTTGGGTTATATTTAAGGAAGATTTTTCCATTAGTAATCCTTGTTAAGTACTGAAATGAAATTTTACGAAGTCCTGGTGCCTCCAGAAGGTGCTGTTGAGGTGGTTATCTGTGGTCCAGCTCAGAGGCAGAGATCGATACGGGAAGACCCTCCAGAGTCCTCTGATTGTTTGATGTTAGTGAGATGCGGAATTCCTGGAGTCACCTGAGCACTTCCCTACAGGCATTGCCTGTGGTGCATCCCACATTGGAATGACACTTGTCTTCTCAATGTTTTGAGCTTTGGGTTTTTGAATCTAAGTCACCATGCTTTCTATGGTTCTAGCTTCTTTGACTCAGAATCAGTCAAAATCATGGTTAAACTTTGATTTATATGAAATCTCAAGCTGGGTGGGCTTTTTCTTCTTGTGTTTTAGACCATCATCCCTCTAACATGGGAGCTTAAAACAAGAGGTAGCGGTTGTCCTGAGGAAAACAGCCCCAGGACATTGAACATGTTTTTTTTTTTTTTTTTTAGAACAGTCAGTACTTTCAGCACCGTTCTTCCCCTTTTGTTAAGGAGTGAGCTTACGTAGTCATATGTTATTTTGTCTCTCTACTGTCATACAGTTGAGGTGCATTCATTTGCTCAGATCAGCAACTTACTCACTGTAAAGCCTTTTGAAATTGTGATAAGTAACACATACGCAAAAGTACCCAGTACCTTCCCGTAATTGATCACAGAGAGAACCGTGTCACAGCCATTCAAGCCTTAGCCTGGATAATGGCAGGACTCTCCCAAACGCTGACTCATCTCTCTGAAAAGTGCCCTTCCCCCCGGGCTGTGTGGTTGTTGCCACCTTACTTCTGATCATCTTATACTAAGTTCTTGTCCCTACCCAACATCATTTTAATTCTGTCTGTTCTTGGACTTCATATAAGTGGAATTAGACAGTATGTACCTTTTGGTTTCTGAGCTTCGCCCTGTTACTGAGTTCTTTCATTTTTATTGCCATATGTAGTATACTTTTGTTCGAATATGCAACAACGTATTCATTCTACTTGTTGATGGAAATGTAAGTTGTTTCCAGGTTTAGGTTAAATTAATATGTTACCATATCCTTCCACCTAGGTGGGAATACAAGCATGCGCCACCATGCCTGGCTAATTTTTCACTTTTTTGTAGAGACATGGTCTCCCTCTGTTGCCCAGAGGGTGGTCTCAAACTCCTAGGCTCAAGTGATCCTTCCACTTTGGCCTCCCAAAGTGCTGACGTAAGAGGCATGAGCCAGTGTTCCTGCCAATATATTAACATTCTTACATCTGTTTCTTTAATCATGCTTTCTGTTTCTTGGTGGGACTCTTGGTTTGTGGAGGATGCCTTTCATACAGAATGCCAGTTTTCCACAGTGATTGTGCTGCTGCTTATCTCCACCGCAAAGTGAGAATTCTCAGTATTCCACCTCTGTGCCAAGACCTAGCATCGCTGGCACTCCCTGTTTGAGCCATTCTGATGGGTGTCACTGGTATCTCATTGTGGTTTCAATTAGCATTTTCTAGATTAATAGTGAGGTTTGATACCTTTTCATATGTACGTTAATCAGTTGGAAATTCTCTTTTGTGAACTGCCAATTCAAGTTCTGTGCCCATTTTTCTATCTGATTATCTTTTTTTCTTTTTAGTCATTCATATGAGTGTTTTTGTATATTTGGGATATGAACTTTTGGCTCTATTTCTCCTGGAGCTTTTTCTCTCACTGAGGCCTGTGTAGTCACTTAAAAGTGTTTTCTGATGAACAGAAGTAATATTAGTGAAATCCAGTTTGTTAACTATTTTAATGGTTGTTCATTTTGTGCCTTAAGAAATCTTTTTCTTACCCAGATTTTCTTTTATACCTTAAAGTTTTATTGTCTTAACTTTCGTGTTAAGAGCTATAGTGCACTTGGACTTGATTTTTGTGCAAGTTATGAGATAGGGGTCACATGTCACTTTTTTTCCACAGGCATTTTATCCGTAGCGTCTTTGTGCCACACCTTTGGGTGAAAAGACTGTCCTTGGTCTCTCTTCTGGGGTGCCACCTTTGTCTGAACCAAGTGATTGTCTATACTTGTGTCTGGTCTGATCTTGCAGCTTTTCCCCTAGTGACTTATTGCACTTGCTAGGACCTGTAGTGCATTGTGGAGTAGAAATGGTGACAGTGTGCCTCCTTGCCTTTTTCTTAGTAGCAGAGAAAAAGCTTTCAAGATTTCATACACGAAGTGTGATGTTTGTTTTAGGAATTTCTTTGTAAGTACCTTTGAATCTTAAGGATGTTTTCTTCTGTTTCTGCTTTGTGATGCGGTTTTAACTATGATTGGATGTTAAATTTCATCAAATGCTTTTCCTGCATTACTTGATGATATAATTTTTTTTTTCTATTAATGTATGAAGTACTGACTTGTCAAATGTTGACTCAGCCTTCCATTTCTGGAATAAAACTACTTTAATCTTAATATTGGTCATATGGATAGATATTTGTGGTCTTGGTCTGCTATTTTTAAAAGACAATTTTGCATCTTTATTTGTAATTTTTCTAGATTTTGCATGTCATTTTCCTTGTAATTTTTTCAGTGACCTGTAATTTTATTTTCTTGTAATACCCTGCAGCTTACTGTTATTGATAACCACCACCTCTTTACTAACAAGGAAGCTGTAATTCAGGAAGAGGATAGGTCCCATGCAACCTCTGTTAGTTTCCATCTGTCCACCAGAGAACGTTAGCTCATCGAGGGAAATACTGGCTGATGGATATGATAGTAGGAAAATGTAATAGACATTCAGGTTTTGGTAACCAAGGTTGTGCTAGTCTTGTAGAGTGAGTAGGAGAATGTTCCTGCCTATTCTTTTCTTGGAAGGCTTTGTATAAGATTGGTAAAATTTGCCATTTAAGTGTACTGTTTAGTGGCATTAAGTACATTCACATTGTTTTACAGCCATCACCACTGCTCATCTCTAGAACTTTTCATTTTTCTCAACCGAAACTATGTATCCATTAAACACCAATTTTCCCCAGCACCTGGCAACTACCATTCTACTTTCTGTCTCTGAATTTGACTACTCCAGGTACCTCATATACATGGAACCATACAGTATTTATCCTTTTGGGATTGGCTTATTTCACTTAGCATGTCTTCAAGGTTTATCTGTGTTGTGGAAAGTGTCTGAATGTCCTTACATTTTAAGGTGAAGTCATATTCTGTTATATGAATATATCACATTTTGCTCTCCACCCACCAGCTGATGACACTTGGGTTGTTTCCATCTTTTGGCTATTGTGAATAATGCTGCCATGAATATGGGTGTGTATATCCATCTGCGTCCGTCCTTTTTCTTATTTTTATTTATTTTTTTTGAGACAGAGCCTCGCTCTGTCGCCAGGCTGGAGTGCAGTGGTACGATCTCGGCTCACTGCAACCTCCATCTCCCGGGTTCAAGCAATTCCCCTGCCTCAGCCTCCTGAGTAGCTGGGACTACAGGCGTGCGCCACCATGCCCAGCTAATTTTTTGTATTTTAGTAGAGCTAGGGTTTCACCATGTTGGCCAGGATGGTCTTGTTCTCCTGACCTCGTGAGCCCCGCCCACCTCGGCCTCCCAAAGTGTTGGGATTATGGGCGTGAGCCACTGCGCCTGGCCTACTTTTACTTCTTTTGGGTAGATAGCCAGAGGTAGAATTGGTAGATTATATGGTAATTTTATATTTAATTTTTTTGAGGAGCTGCCATAGTGTTTTTCAGAGTGGCTGCACCATTTTGTGTTCCCATCAGTAGTGTGCAGGAGTTCCAGTTTCTCCACATCCTCACCAACACTTTTTTTTTAAAAAAATAGTAACCATCAATGGGTGTGAAGTGGTATCTCATTGTGGTTTTGATTTGTATGTCCCTAATGATTAGTGATGTCAAGCATCTTTTCATGTGCTTATTGACCATTTGCATATCTTTTCTGGAGAAATGTCTATTCAAGTCTTTTGCCCGTGTTTTAATTGGGTTTTTGTCATGTTGGGTTTTAAGAGTTCGTTATATATTCTGGATAGATATGATTTGCAATCTGTTTTGCATTCTTTGGGTTGCCGTATCACTCTTGATAGCCTCCTTTGATGCACAGAAGTGTTCGATTTTGATTAAGTCCAACTTACCTGTATTTTCCTTTTGTTGCCTGTGCTGCTTTTGGTGTCCTATTCAAGACATTGTCACCAAATTCAGTGTCATGAAATTTTTCCGCAGTGTGTTCTTTTAAGAATTTTATAGTTTTAGCACTTACTTTTAGGTCTCTGATCAATTTTCAGTTAGTTTTTGTGTGTGGCGTAAGGTAAGGGTCTACCTACGTTCTTTTACATGTGTGTGTCTGGATTTCCCAGTACCGTGCATTGAAAAGGCTCTTCTTTCCCCATTGAGTGGGCTTGGCTCCCATGTCAAAAATCATCTGACCAAATACGTGAGGGATTGTTTTTGGGGTCTCCATTCTGTTCCATGTTTCTATATGTTTGTCTGTTCCAGTGCCATACTCTTCTTTATTATTGCTTTCTTTTTTCTTAAGGTTTAATCTGCTATTTTTCTTGCTTTTTGAGAAATGAATACTTATTAGCATAGTGATTTTTTGTAATGTTTGTTATGAAAATTTTCTAACATAGATAAAAGTAGAAAAATAGTAAAATGAATCTAGCTTTAACAGGTGAATACGTTCCCCTCCCATACTTCTCTATATTGTTGATTGATTGGATTATTCTAAAGCATAACTCTGTCTTTAAAACATTTTAAGGCATTTTACATCTTAATGATAAGGATTTAAAGAAAACCCTACAATATCATTATCGTGTCTATTAGATTAACAGTGATCCCTTAATCTAACATGCAGTCCATATTACATTTTCCTGGACTGTCTTAAAAATGCCTTTTTTAGGTGGTAATTTTGAATTAGGACCTGAGCATGTTCTGCGTATTGGCATTGGTTGACGTATGCTTCTAGTCTCTTTACCCCAACAACATGGCTCCAGGCCCTCCTCTCCCTGTCTCTGATCATACTGTTTTCTTTTTCAAAGAAACAGGTTGGTTATTTTGGAGAACTTCACATTTTCTGAACTTGGTTGACTGCATTCTCATTCTAGACCAACACGTTCTTCTGTTAGTTACATTCGTCTGCTGGTTAGATCTAGAGGTTTGGCTGGATTTGAATGCAGTCTCGTTGGGTCGATGTTATGTCTGGAGTCATGCTGCATGCTTTCTGTTGGCTCAGGAGGCCTGTAATGCTTGGTGGCTCCCCGCTTTAGTTCTGTGACGCTAGACCAGGGAATTCATGTGTTGCGTGTCCTCTATAAAATCCCCTACCAACCTTGTCCTCTGCTGTCTGGTTAGCAGGAGGTACCATTTGTACAGGAAGGACATGATCTAAGCTTGACTTCTTGAACTGCCACTTCCCTTTAACTATTTTTCATAATATTGAGTTGGTATCCTAGCACTTCCAAAGGTGACCACCAGTCAGGTTTTCTTTTTTTGAGTATTTTTATGAACCAATAGACTTTTATTGATTTGGTGTTTCTTTTCTTCTTTAGCTTTTTCCCCCTAATATACACATTTAAAAGCATAAATGCCCTCAAGCATGCATTTAGTTGTATGTCACCATTTTGATCTGCAGTATTTTTATTATCATTAATTGAACACATTTTCTAATTTCCATAGTCATTTTTTCTTAGAATTTTGGGTTACTTCTAAGTGAGCTTTGTAATTTTCAAATATGTGGATGAATATTTTTATTTATTTATTTTGGATGAATTTTTAAAAACCTATTTCTAATTTAACTGCATTGTTGTCAGCACACGTGCTCTGTAAGTTGATTTCTTTGAAATTTGTTGAGATTTGCTCTATGGCCTGGCATGGCCAGATTTGATATTCATGCTGCCTGTGTGTGGTATTGGTTTCAGAGCCAGGTATACATTTCTCTCATTGTGGTTGTGGATTTGTTTATATCTGCTTGTAGTTCTTTCACACAGTTTGTTCTTTTCATTTTACCTGTTGATTGATCGATGGACTGATTCTGGTTTCTGTATATACAGAGTCATTTTTTACAGGTCAGAACTGTAGAAATAATGAAGAAGTGACGCTTATACGCAAAGCTGATTTGGAGAACCATAATAAAGATGGAGGCTTCTGGACTGTGATTGACGGGAAAGTGTATGATATAAAGGACTTCCAGACGCAGTCGTTAACAGGAAATAGTATTCTTGGTGAGATTACACTTCTTATTTCATGGTTAAAAGTTATAGCCTGTGTCATTTTAAGCAGAGTATTTGGCTTATAAATGATTTCTTTAGTTTTGTGCCAGCCCCCACATATTTTAATGTATCTGTGGCTTTGATGTCTGTCTTATCAACAAATTCAGCACATTTGAAGAATTTCCTATCATTATGCATTTTTTGTTTTAAGACTTGGAACTCATTTCAAGTTCTGAGTTGGCCCAGGTAACCCTGAGAGACAGTGGGAGGTCATTATCCTCTGGTAACCCTCACTTTTGAGTTAAGCACCTAACTTATTTCCTGCTCACTGTGTCTCCTATAGCTCTTCAGGCAAATTGAACTGAACTCATGTTGCTTTTTCCCTTTTTGTTTCAGCTCAGTTTGCAGGGGAAGACCCAGTGGTAGCTTTGGAAGCTGCTTTGCAGTTTGAAGACACTCGGGAATCCATGCATGCGTTTTGTGTTGGCCAGTATCTGGAGGTGAGGCTATATGCCTTGAGTGACGCAGAGGATAGCAAGGGATACCCTCTGTGTGGTTTGTGACAGGAATATTTGGATCCAGAAGTACTGATATCTGTGTCTTTTGGGGGGCATTAGGGATAAATATAAAGATCCTTTAGAAGTTTTGTCATAAATGAATTTACATTTATTCATGTTAAGATCTGTGATGTATTGGTCTTGAAAGATTGTTTTTTAAATAATCAATTTGAGAAATATAGACAGTGTTCCACAAGAAAAGAGGTTAAACTTTGGTCTTATGTAGAAATTTGGAATGGCTTATTATCTTGCGGTATGTATATTTTGGGAAGAACTATGCAGAAGTGTAATTCTTGGCAATAGAAATATGTCCTTCCTATGTATTCATGAACACATAGAATTTATATATTGGGATTAGCTTTCCAGATATCCATAAGTAATAAAATGTATTAAATGCCATTAGGGCAGGGCTTAAAGCATTTTATGAAGGGGAGAATTAACTTTGCTGTAAATATCTTCTGTGACTGGAAAAGTTGAACTCTTGCTTTTTTCACAGTTCGATTTTTGTTAGAATAAATTTCATTTCCTCCACATGTGTGGTCACAGTCCACTAATACTTGTCATCGAACACTTGTCGTGTCATAGTTTTGTTGCCCAGTGTGTTCCTTATGCATGTAACAATTCATTATATTTTCTGAAGCATGGTGTACAGTCACTTTGGAAACTGACTCCTAAGGAATATTCCAGCCAAATCATGTGTCTGTGCTTTAGTTTTTCTACATAGGGCTGTGCAGTTGCTGCCTGCTTTCTAGGGCGTGTGGGTTTCTGTGGCATCTGCTGTTACTTGGGCACAGCAGCATCGACTTGTTACAGGATGGAGGGGCAGAACACCCAGAGCACCCCGGGCTCACATGGTGGTACAGCTGCAGGACAGAGCTGTCCTTGTAGTTTTGTGTTTTTAATTAATTCTGTTTCCTCAGATTGATGATGAAATTTATTTTTCCAGCCTGACCAAGAAGTTGTCACCATACCAGATCTGGGAAGTCTCTCTTCACCTCTGATAGACACAGAGAGGAATCTGGGCCTGCTTCTTGGATTACACGCCTCCTATTTAGCAATGAGCACACCGCTGTCTCCTGTTGAGATTGAATGTGCCAGTAAGAAAATCTTTGCTGTTTGCTGATTAGCAGATTATTTTTTTTGAACTGTAAGTGCCATTAAGAGTGGGAGAGGGCCAGGCACAGTGGTTCTTGCCTGTAATCCCAGCACTTTGGGAGGTTGAGGCAGGTGAATTGCTTGAGGTCAAGAGTTTGAGACCAGCCTGGGCAACATGGCAAAACCCCATCTCTACAAAAAATACAAAAATTAGCCAGGCATGGTGGCACGTACGTGTAGTCGCAGATACTCAAGAGGCTGAGGTAGGAGGATCGCTTGAGCCTGGGAGGTTGAGGCTGCAGTGAGGTGTGATCATACCACTGCACTCCAGCCTGGGTGACACAGCAAGACTCTCTCTTTAAAAAAGTAGGAGATGGCCAGGTGGTGGCTCATGCCTGTAATCCCAGCAATTTGGGAGGCTGAGGCAGGTGAATCACCTGAGGTCAGGAGTTTGAGACCAGCCTGGTCAACGTGGTGAAACCCCATGTCTACTAAAAATGCAGAAATTAGCTGGGCATGGTGACGGGCGCCTGTAATCCCAGTTACTCGGAAGGCTGAGGTAGGAGAATTGCTTGAACACAGGAGACAGAGGTTATAATGAGCCGAGATCACGCCACTGCACTCTAGCCTGGGTGACAAGAGCGAGACTCCATCTCAAAAAAAAAAAAAAAGAAAAAAAGAAAAAAAGTGGGAGAGGAGGATTCAACACAGTGATGATGATAAAAAAAAAAAATAATAATAAAGATAGTGAGACTCAATCCGGTAGAAACAGCTGTGAGTGGCTGTCATTTGCCCTCATGGTCTGTTGCTGCAGAGGAAGCTAAAAAGTGTGCAGGAATGTGTACCTGTCTACCCTGTGGTGGTCTCACATATTTGCAGCCTCTGCCTGATGGGCGCAGCATGGCTTTTGTCTCCCTACATGCCCAGAAGTTGCACAGAATGTGGATCAGCTGTCCTCTCAGGGGACAGCATTCTATTTGAGGACTGCGTTTTTACCAGACCAGGCTCAAGTCACTTATATTTCAGGATGGCAACCTTTGTAACCACCTAAAATAATAAGTTTCTTCCTGTCTCCTAAGATGGGTTTACATTTTTCTTCATGTAGTTGTGCATTTCCCATCTGTCTGTCTATCCATCCATGTGAACAGCTTCTGTTGAGCAGTCGCCTGGTGCAGTTACCACGCTAGGTGTTTGGGATGCAGGGATGGATAGGACACGCCTCCACTTTCAGCTGCTGCTTGTTGATGAGCCAGCATTCTAAGCAGGTCACGTTACAGGGTGGTGAATGGTGAAATGGAGACATTCATACATGGTTCTGGGAGAAGAAAGGCTTCACATTGGCAGCAGTCCTGAAATTGCGTGAGGGAGCATTCTGGACAGAAAACGCAGGGGTGTCAAGGGCGCTGCTGAGAGGAGCAGGGCTTTCCTGCTGCTTGTGAGAGTGGGTGTGGCAGAAGGCTGGTGGGGAAGGAGGATCTTGGTGCCCACACAGCCCCCCGTTGGGTGGACCTTTGTGCAGTGCTGGGTGCTGGGCTGCCTGTGGTGCCCTCTGAGGTGGCAGCTTCCCTCCCTCCTCCTTGAGGCTCGTTGCTTGCCAGAAGATGGGCTTTGCTTAAATTGGCAAGGAGGGCAGGGCTGGTGAGCTCCAGGGCAAAGGGTGCCATGGGCCCTGGCAGGTGGGTCCGATCCACAGGAGGATCAGAGGCTTATCTTGGAGCTGTAAGGAGGGGCTGTCCTGTGCTTAAAGAGAGGGGGCCAGGGAGAGTCGGCACTGGATTTGTGTTTCAGAAGAACGCATGTGGTGGGTTGGGGAATGATCCTGAGTGCTCTAAAATCTTAATGTCCAGTAAAAGAACACTTAAGTGCATCCCCACTTTGATGGCTTGGATTTGGAGCAGTATTTGATAACACAGATCGTTAATGGAGATCTGTAGTGGTGCACATACTAATTTTGTGTGTTTGTGCTGCTCCCTCAAGTTACCATAGGCAGTTGTAATTGACATTCGCACTGGCTGATCCCATGCCTTGCACTACGCACAGGTCTCCTTTCCAGTCCATCAGCCCTCCCATCTCTAAGGATCTATCCTTCATTAAAGATTGTGTTTGTTAAATATTTTCTTCTTTTCATTCCTTTATAAGTGGCCTAGGAATACATAGCCTACCCTGAGGATGTAATTCTTTGTGGAAACCCTTCAGATGTGCTGTTCCCTGCCTGGATACTCAGTGTCTTGGTCTTATTCCCCATCTTAGCTCAGTTATTGCTTCCACAAGTCCCTTACTGACCCTCAGAACAGCAGTGGTCTGTCTTCCAGTCTCCCTGGTACCCCCACAGTCATCCGTTGCACACAGTTTCGGACCTGAAATCCTGTGATTAGTTGTGTCAGCGGTGCCCTTTGCTGCCCTCCCTGTTACAATGTGCAACTCAGTCTTCACACGGTATCTGTGGAACCTGGCAGCTGCAGGCAGAGCACAGGTATCCAGTGAATGTTGGGCTGGGACTACGATCCTGAGTTCCAGTGCCATGCCTGAGGCGTGTGGAATCACCAGGAATGTGTTCATGTAGATAGAGGAATTATAAGTCAACCTGTGTAAACATGTTAGGTGGAGCTCTTTCATATGAATGATGCTGAATTTCACCTTCTAAATTGAGTGATCAGTTGAGCATCTTTTTTTTTCTTTTTTTAGTATTTATTTTGAGTTGTGCACTTGAGTTTCTCTTTCATGTTTGCGTGTGCATTTTCTAGAGTGGCTTCAGTCATCCATCTTCTCTGGAGGCCTGCAGACTAGCCAGATCCACTACAGCTACAACGAGGAGAAAGATGAGGACCACTGCAGCTCCCCAGGGGGCACACCTGCCAGCAAATCTCGACTCTGCTCCCACAGACGGGCCCTGGGGGACCATTCCCAGGCTTTTCTGCAAGCCATTGCAGACAATAACATTCAGGATCACAACGTGAAGGTGAGCTAGGCCTCCCCCCACTGCCACCTCAGTGCTCTGTTTATCTGAGGACTTGGACATAGGAATACTTATGTGCTCTTTGGTTAACATAGCACAGGCGTTGTTTCATGTATTATTTGGAGGGTTTTGAGGTGAGAACCTGATTCTGTTAACATGCTAGTGAGGCTTCAGAAGCATTACTGATTGCAAGTGTGTCAGAAGCTGTGGCATGTTTAAGATTTGTGAAGACTCTCTGGGCGGCCCTGAAGTTACCTCCCGCTGTTTCTGTTGCAGGACTTTTTGTGTCAAATAGAAAGGTACTGTAGGCAGTGCCATCTGACCACACCGATCACGTTTCCTCCTGAGCATCCTGTGGAAGAGGTCGGTCGCTTGCTGTTATGTTGCCTCTTAAAACATGAAGATTTAGGTATGGAGCTCAATATCTGTGTACTTTAGCTATACTGCAGATTCCTCGACTAACCTGCGGTATATATTCATTCCTTCCCTGCCCTTCTTTTAAATGTCTTTTTACAGGTCATGTGGCATTATCTTTAGTTCATGCAGGTGCACTTGGTATTGAGCAAGTAAAGCACAGAACGTTGCCTAAGTCAGTGGTGGATGTTTGTAGAGTTGTCTACCAAGCAAAATGTTCGCTCATTAAGGTGACAGATTTTAATTCTTTTTATTCTGTGCTTTGCAGACAGTTGCTGAAATATTTGTTGTTAAAGTTGTCTTTTCCTGGTTAACTTTGCAGACTCATCAAGAACAGGGCCGTTCTTACAAGGAGGTCTGCGCTCCTGTCATCGAACGTTTGAGATTCCTCTTTAATGAATTGAGACCTGCTGTTTGTAATGACCTCTCTATAATGTCTAAGTTTAAATTGTTAAGTTCTTTGCCCCGTTGGAGGAGGATAGCTCAGAAGATAATTCGAGAACGAAGGAAAAAGAGAGGTAAGAATGTAAAAGGACAGAAGATACTGTTAAAGCGTGTGCTTCACCCTGCCTCATTGGATCTGTGATTTCAGAGTGAAGTTTCTCTACTGTTGACTCCATGTGACGTTTCTACCTGCTGCCATCATTTTTATGTATAGTTATGATTAAATGCAGAAATCTCGCTTATTTTTCCAAGAGATCAATGAGGCAGTTTAGGAATTGAGTGTGGTATGATTTGGTTACTAGTAAATTGATGTTGAAAACCTAAATAATCTTTACTAAATTGATGGGGACAAGGAAGTATTTTTATTTTATTAGTTGTCCTGGTAATGAGATATAATGGGAACATTTAAACTTACGGCCATTCTTCTAAAGAAATGTTTTTTGTTGGGAAATATTGAGTATTCTGATACGTGGAGAATTAGAAAGGGAAGCTAAAAGAGTTACTGACGTTTTCCTGGAAGTGGCTATGTAAGGGTACAGAAAGGTCTTGTTGCATTAAATCCAAATTTGAGTAAAAATGCTTAGAAATTATAAAATAGTTTAGAATTTAGTCACTTGTGATTATAAATAAACTACAGAAATTTCTGATTATATTCTTTTTTTTTTTTTCTTTTGAGACGGAGTCTTGCTCTGTCACCAGTCTGGAGTGCAGTGGCACGATCTCAGCTCACTGCAACCTCCGCCTCCCAGGTTCAAGCGATTCCCCTGCCTCAGCCTTCCAAGTAGCTGGGATTATAGGCAAGTGCCACCACGCCCAGCTAATTTTTGTGTTTCAGTAGAGACGGTTTCACCATGTTGGCCGAGATGGTCTTGATCTCCTGACCTCATGATGTGCCTGCCTCGGCCTCCCAAAGTGCTGGGATTACAGGCGTGAGCCATCGCGCTCGGCCTCTGATCATATTCTTATGACTTATACTGATTTACTCTCAAACCTGCTTATTGAACAGTATTAATTACTGAGTTTCTGATAGGCATTTTGAACAATAAGCTTATGAAAGACTGAAGTGTTTTAGAAGCCATCTAAGTTGATTGTTCCTGAACAAACCCTACACCGTAACAGCCTGTCTGCATCCAGTGAGTGCTCCGAATCAGGCAGTCACAGCAGTCACGCTGCTGCGATTCCTTTAACCCAGGCATGCAGGAACTCAGCCCGGGCCCAGAGACAGGCCTGTCTCAGCATGAGGGAGAGAGACTCGACCATTTGCCATCTCGTATCCGTGGGTTCTGAGCCCACACTGTCACTTTTAGAGTTTCTTGTGGGTTTATAGATTTATTGTGCGTTGTTTCAAGCTGGTTTTCTTTTTCTTTTTTTGGAAATTAAGTAACTTATAAGGATTTAGTGATTAATATTCCTGTTGCTGTGTCAGGGATCCCCGAGCCCTGTCTCAGGCTTAATGATTCACTAAAAGGACTCAGAAGAGCTGTTATACTCACAGCTGTGGTTTTTTACTGCAAAAAGGATACAGATTAAGATTAGCAAAGGGAAGGGTACTTAGAGGGAAGTCCAGAGAAAACTAGGCACAAGCTTCTGGTGTTTCTCCCCAGTGGCGTCGTTTGGATGTGCTTTGCTCTCCCAGCAACAGTGTGTCACATCATGTGTGAAGAGTTGTTAACCAGGCCAGCTCACCTGAGCCTTGAGTCTAGAGTTTTTATTGGGGGCCAGTCACAAGCACAGGCAGTGCACATGTGACTGACCTCAATTACTTAGACTCTGGTGCGTCAGCGCAAAAACAAGTGGTCCCTCTAGAGTCACATCATTAGCATAATCTGCCTGCCTGACTACTGCCACAAGGTCCTGGGTGTCAGGTATACCAAAAAACTTACCAGGCAGGATGTTCCAAGGACTCAGAGCTCAGCTCCTAGAAGAAGGACCAGTCCTGAAGGGACAGACCTTCCTTGGGCATTTGCAGGGTTTGAGCAACCCCAGCCTGCTATGTTAACTCTTCACTGCCCAGGTGTGTTATCATGTTGCTTATTTTTTATATTATATGCTGAGGAGATTTAGACCAAAAATTTTAAAAGAGATAAAATATAGGGAGGAAATTCCACATATCACAATGAATTCAATTGATTTAGTTACACACTAACAGAACCCCTGAACTGGACCAGGGTGGACAAGCCAGGAACTGTGGGCCAAATTCCACCTCTTGTTTGCTTTGTGTTGGCCAGGTACTAAGACCTTTTTTTTTTTTTTTCCAGTTTGAAATTGTTTTTTAAAAATTAGAAGAAGTATATTATTTTTGACACATGAAAATTACAGGAAGTTAAAATTGTAGCACCATAAATAAAGTTTTATGGGAGCACAGCCACCCCTCTTGTTTTATTTGTGGTTACTTTTTGTGCTACAGCAGCAGAGTTGAGTATTTGCAATAGACTGCATGGCCTGAAAGACTCAAACATTCACCCGCCAGCGCTTGAGGAAGAGCTCGCTCTGAAAGACTCAAGCGTTCGCTCTCCGGCGCTTGAGGAAGAGCTCGCTGGCCGCCGGGCTTCCCCGGCTTCGGGGCTTCTCCCCGTGTCGCACTCTCAGTTTGTCTTTTTGTTCTGCCGTGGTGGTCATTTCACTTTTGTGGTTTGAGCATTGCAATTTATAATGGTGTTCACATGTTTATTTGAATGAAATATTTGTCCTTCATGCAAATCTAAATATTTCTTAATTTAAAATTATATTTAAGTGTATGATTTTTATAGAAAATGATGTTTTAAAATACAGTTCCTAAGAAGCCAGAATCTACGGATGATGAGGAAAAAATTGGAAATGAAGAGAGTGATTTAGAAGAAGCTTGCATTTTGCCTCATAGTCCAATAAATGTGGACAAGAGACCCATTGCAATTAAATCACCCAAGGTGCAGTATTTTCTGTGATTCTGAGGTTAGCTGAATGGAGTCATAGCACGTAGCACAGGAATCCCCAAGTCTTGTACCTCTCTACCTGAGCGTCTGGAGGGAGGGACGGGTGGTGGTTAGAAGTACGGCCCCAGGGATGCTTCATGAACTGGACTTACGATGTCCTGGTCAGAGCTGTAGCTGGAGAAGGGTTTCCTTTTATTTTTGGTACTAGATTGTGTCATTAATTATTCACTATTCATTCCTTAACTATATTCTTTGTTCCAGAAACAGTGCTGGGCACTGTGGTTATTAATATGAACCATCACTTAATTTTGTATGCCAAGCTAGCCTGTTCCAACATGGATTAGTATAGAGATGATAAATTCACTTATAAGTATATTTATAGCATAGTTTTAAAACCATGTATTACTTACTAAATTTAACATATTTTAACCAATTTAAACCTGTGAGCATTGTTTATTCATATTTTACTTGAATAACTTTTAGAGCACAGTTTAATATTAAATAGGATAGACTAATGATGAAAATTGTTTTCCTCTGTTAGGACAAATGGCAGCCGCTGTTGAGTACTGTTACAGGTGTTCACAAATACAAGTGGTTGAAGCAGAATGTTCAGGGTCTTTATCCGCAGTCTCCACTCCTCAGTACAATTGCTGAATTTGCCCTTAAAGAAGAGCCAGTGGATGTGGAAAAAATGAGAAAGTGCCTACTAAAACAGGTAAAATTTGAAGAGAAATGCTTCTGTGCATTGGGTAATGTATATAACACTTAACTGTATGCATTAATACTTTGCAGTTGGAGAGAGCAGAGGTTCGCCTGGAAGGGATAGATACAATTTTAAAACTGGCAAGCAAGAATTTCTTACTTCCATCTGTGCAGTACGCGATGTTTTGTGGATGGCAAAGACTTATTCCTGAGGGAATCGATATAGGGTAAAACGTTATCCTGTTTTTTTCATAATTAAGGAAGCTGTGGCAACAAAATGTTGTTCTGTAGTAGTTAGAAGTCTGGCAGTGTCCCGAGTCAAATTCTTTATCTTTATTTGAAAGGGAACCTCTTACTGATTGTTTAAAGGATGTTGATTTGATCCCCCCTTTTAATCGGATGCTGCTGGAAGTCACCTTTGGCAAGCTGTATGCTTGGGCTGTTCAGAACATTCGAAATGTTTTGATGGATGCCAATGCCAAATTTAAAGAGCTTGGTGAGTCAACAATTGCATCAATGTTATTTTATATTTTGGCTTTAATTATGTGTAGTGGAAACTTGCAAATGCCAATTTTTGCTTTTGAGAAGACTTTAATAACTTTGTACTTTGTACTTGTATTTCAGCTTTCTCAGATTTTAAACAAAACTTTAAAATTTAGCAGGAGACACAATGTTGAAGTACTCTAGTATAACATTTTTACATTTTGACATTTTTATGTGTATCACCACATACCCTAAAGTGTCTGTGTCCTATATTAATATTATTTCCTGGATAGTTTGAGCATCTACAGAGAGTTGATTGGATTGGTTTTGTGGATGAAAAGCGAGACATAACTTTCATATTTGAAATGGAAGGAATGGAATAGGGCACCAGGGTATTCGGAGAGCAACATGCTAAGTCCTGTAGACAGATGGAACGACCTGTGCTTGGAGTGCAGGGGATAGGCTCATTGTGCAGCATGACAGAGCTGCACACTCTGTGGAAATCCACTGAAAAATAGATGTTTAAAGTAATCGCCAATGCTTTCTGCATTACGTTTATTCTTGTGTCTTGTATCCATGCACAAGAAATGTAAGTAGGTGCCAATGCTCATTAGGTATCCAGCCGGTTCCCCTGCAAACCATTACCAATGAGAACCCGTCAGGACCGAGCCTGGGGACCATCCCACAAGCCCGCTTCCTCCTGGTGATGCTCAGCATGCTCACCCTGCAGCACGGCGCAAACAACCTCGACCTCCTGCTCAATTCCGGCACGCTGGCCCTCACGCAGACGGCGCTGCGCCTGATTGGTAGGTCTGCACCGGCTTGAGAGCCTTTGGGAAAACATCAAGATTTTGCTTTGATTTCTTTCCTTTTTTTTTTTTTTTTTAACTTTTTGTAAATTATGGTAAGACACAAATAGCAGAAAGTGTACCATTTTAACGTCGCAATTCAGCAGTATTAAATACATTCACACTTTTCTAGAGTCATCACCACCATCTAGTTGTAGAATTTTTTCATCACTATAAATGCACCCCATTTAGCAATCAGTCCTGATTCCCCTGCCCTCCAGCCTCTAGGAGTCACAAATCTGCTTTCTCTGTCTATGGATTTGCATATCCTGGATATTTCATATAAATGGAATCATACCAGTTGTGGCCTTTGTGTCTGGGTTATTTCATATCAGTACTTTATTTTTATTGCTGAAAAAGACTTCCTTGTATGAATATATAACATTTTGTTTATTCATTTATCTGTTGATGGACATTTGGGTTGGTTTTGCCTTTTGACTTGTGAATAGTGCTGCTAGGAACGTTTATATACAAATACTTGTTTGAACACTTGTTTCTAGTTCTTTTGATTATACACCTAGGACTGGAATTACAGGGTCATATGGTACAACTATGTGTAACTTACTAAGAAACTACCAAACTTTTCCACAGTGTGATATCATTTTACATTCCCACCACCAGTGGACAGGATTCCAGGGTTCCAGGGTTCCAGTTTCTCTACTTCCCTGCCAACACAAACACTATTTTTTGTGGGATTTCTTTTTTTTTTTTTTGGATTAAGACCATCCTAGTGGGTGTGAAGTGGTATCTCATTGTGATTTTGATTTGCATTTCACTGATGATGAATGATGATTGAGCTTCTTTACATGTTTGCGCTTGTTGGCCATTTGTATATCTTCTTTGGAGAAGTGTCTATTCAAGTCCCTTTCTCCTTATTTTTTATTTTATTTTTTTGAGACAGAGTGTCACTCTGTCGCCCAGGCTGGAGTGCAGTGGCACAATCTTGGCTCACTGCAACCTCCACCTCCCGGGTTCAAGTGATTCTCATGCCTCAGCCTCCCAAGTAGCTGGGATTATAGTCACACACCACCACACCTGGCTAATTTTTGTATTTTTAGTAGAGATGGGGTTTCGCCATGTTGGCCAGGCTGGTCTCGAACTCCTGACCTCGGGTCATCTGCCCACCTAAGCCTCCCAAAGTGCTGGGATTACAGGCCTGAGCTACTGCGCCCAGCCCCTTTGTCCTTTTTAAATAGGGTTGTTTGTCATCTTTTTGTTGTATCAATAAATGCACTATATAAGTGTACCAAACAAATAAAGAAGAATTAACACCAGTCCTCAGACTCTTTAAAAATTTCGTGTATCCTAGACCTTCACAGATCTGTAGACCTTTATCAGATATATAATTTGAGGATATTTTCTCCTGTTCTCTGTATTGTATTTCCTTTGATACAGAAGTTTTTTATTTTGATGAAGTTCAGTTTATCTGTTTTTCTTTTATCATCTGTGCTTTTGATATCATATCCAAAAAGCCATTTCCAAATACAATATTGATGAAGATTATCCTCATGTTTTCTTCTGTAAGTTTTATAGTTTTAGCTCTTATATTTAGATCTTTGGTCCATTTTTAGGTAATTTTTTTTACACCGTGTGAGGTAAGAGTCTAACCTTTTTCTTTTGATTATCTGATTGTTTCAATACCACTTGTTGAGGACTGTTCTTCCCTGAAGTTCTCAGTACCCTTGGCAAAAATCAGTTGGCTGTAGGTATTTAGATTTACTTCTGGACTCTCAATTACATTATCACATTCTATATGTCGATAATTATGTGGGCACCACACTGTTTTGAACATCGTAGTTTTGTACTGTTTTAGCATTGAGAAGTGTGTTTTCTTTCTCAAGATTATTTTGGCTTCTTTGGGTCCCTTGCATTTTCATATGAACATCAAGGCTGGCTTTTCCATATCTGCAAAAAAGACCATTGGGATTTTTGCTAGGGATTGAATCTGTAGATTGTTTTGGGGAATAGTGCCATCTTAGCAATGTTAACATCCATTCTCTGAATGTGGAATGTCTTTCCATTTATTTCTTTCCTCTTTAATTTCTTTCAGCAATATTTTATTGTTTTACAGTTATCAGGGTAATAATGGCCTCATAGAATGAACTAGGTAGTGTACCCATGTATTCTGTTTTTAGAAGAGTTTGAGGATTGGTGTCAATTTTGCTTTAAATGTTTGGTAGAGTTGACCAGCTAAGCTTTTCTTTGTTGAAAGATATTTGATTACCGATTCAATCTCTTCACTGGTTATGGGTCTTTTCAGGTTTTCTATTTCTTCTGGAGTCAGTTCAGGTAATTTATGTTTCTAGGAATTCGTTCATTTTATCTAGGCTATTTTATTTGTTGGCATACAGTTGTTCACAGTGTTCTTTTACAATCTTTTTTATTTTTATGTTGGTAGTGCTGTCTCCACTTACATTTCTGATGTTAGTTATTTGCATCTTCTCTCTTTTTTTCTTTCTTTTTTTTTTTTTTTTTTTTTGAGATGGAGTCTCGCTCTGTTGCCAGGCTGGAGTGCAGTGGCGCAGTCTCGGCTCACTGCAACCTCTGCCTCCCGGATTCAAGCAATTCTCCTGCCTCAGCCTCCCGAGTAACTGGGACTACAGGTGCGCACTACCACGGCCAGCTAATTTTTTTGTATTTTTAGTGGAGATGGGGTTTTACCATGTTAACCAGGATGGTCTCGATCTCTTGACCTCGTGATCCGCCCACCTCAGCTTCCCAAAGCGCTGTAAGCCACCTCGCCTGGCCTCTTTTTTTCTTAATTTAGCTAAAAGTTTGTCAGTTTTTTTGTTCTTGCCAGAAACTGAACTTTTGGTTCTGTTGATTATTTTTCTATTCTTTATTTCATTTATGGCTGCTCTAATCTCTATTGTTTCCTTCTTTCTGCTTCGTATGTTTTTGTTTTTGTTTTTGTTTTGAGACAGGGTCTTACTTTGTCCCTCAGGCTGAAGTACAGTGGCACAGTCATGACTTACTGCAGCCTCAACCTCCTGGGCTCAAGTTATCCACCTGCCTCAGCCTCCCAAAGTGCTGGGATGACAGATGTGAGGCACCACACCTGGCCCAACTTTGGTTTTTGTTGTGTTCTTATTTTTTTAGTTCTTCCAGATGCAGAGTTAAGTTATTGATTTGAGGTCTTCTTTTGTAAATGCAGACTTTTATAGTACAGTTGCCCCACTTAGCCCTGCTTTTGGTGCAGCACAGAAGTTTTGGTATGTTGTGTTTTCATTCATCTCATAGTATTTTCTAATTTCCCTTGTGATTTCTTCTTTGACCCACTGATTGTTTACTGTGTGTTGTTTAATTTTCATATACTTGTGAATTTTCCACTTTTCCTTTTGTTATTAATTTCTCATCATTCCATTTTGGTTGGAGAAGGTAACTTGTATGATTTTAGTCTGTTTAAATTTGAGACTTTGTGGCCTGACATATGGTCTGGTCAGTCTAAGAGATTGTTCTGTGGTATACTTGAGAAGAATGTGTGTTCTGCTCTTTTTGGTGAAATGTTCTGTATGTGTCTATTAGATCTGATTGGTTTATGGTGGTGGTCTTTGGCTAAAATATGAGATGCTGCAGAGCCAGTTGTCAAAGTCAAAGCGAAAAAGCAAAGTTTTCCCAAGCTCTTTTTATCACATCAGTCTTAGAGTTCACATTAATCCATTCAAAAATATATATCAGGCCAGGCTGTAATCCTAGCACTTGGGGAGGCTGAGGCAGCTGGATTGCTTGAGCTCAGGAGTTTGAGAGCAACTTGGGCAATGCGGCGAAACCCTGTCTCTACAAAAAAATGTGAAAATTAGCTGGGCATAGTGGTGTGTGCTTGTGGTCCCAGCTGCCTGGGAGGCTGAGGTGGGAAGATTGCTTGAGCCAGGGAGGCAGAGGTTGCAGTGAGTGGAGATCAAGCCACTGCACCCCAGCCTGGGTGACAGAGTGAAATCCTGTCTTGGGGGTGGGGGGAATCGCTCTCTCTATCGATCTGTCTCTCTGTCTGTCTCTGTCTCTCTGTCTCTCTCTCTCTCTATATATATATTTAATTTATATATTTATATGTTATATTATGTCAAATATATATTTTAATATGTGAATTACAGCTAGCTGAAAAGAATAATCTAGTAAGAGTTATATCTGATTTCTTAAGGCCTCATTAGCAACCAAAAGTTGCATTTAAAAATTACAAAAGCGTATCTGCAGTTTTACATAAGTAAAAATGACAGCACAAATCATTAAGTATGGGGACTCATTCTGTTGATAGTATTCATCTGTTTAAATTTCATCTGGCCCACTGGCTGCAAAAAGCAAGGAAGTTGTATCTTATGAATATCTGTTTATATTTGCAACTTGCCCTGATCAGGGTATCTCTCTTGTCATTTAAGAAATTATAGGCCAGGCGTGGTGGCTCATGCCTGTAATGCCAGCACTTTGGGAGGCTGAGGCAGGTGGATCACAAGGTCAGGAGATCAAGACCACCCTTGCTAACATGGTGAAACCTCGTCTCTACTAAAAATACAAAAAATTAGCCGGGCGTGGTGGCAGGCACCTGTGGTCCCAGCTACTCGGGAGGCTGAGGCAGGAGAATGGCGTGAACCCAGGAGGCAGAGGTTGCAGTGAGCCGAGATCGCACCACTGCACTCCGGCCTGGGTGACAGAGCGAGATTCCGTCTCAAAAAAAAAAAAAAAAAAGAAATTATAAGCATATAATATTTTATACTAACTTAATGTATACATCCACATGTAATAGCCACAAAGCATAAAGCTATGTAAAATAAAAATTTCCCCCAGTTTTGGTTGCAAATTTCTTCAAGCCACTGGCAGTCTTTACAGAGTTAACAGTATAACTGCGCAGGGGATCCTGGGAGATTCGCCTGTAATGCAACTCCTGTCCCTTCCTTGGGACCCATTCTTGGGGCCCCCAAAGTAGCAGCTAGGCTAAAGGAAAGGCTATTTCCCCTGCTAGTTTATGTAAAGTTTTGCTCCAGTCCTGAGAATTGAATATCCTTTTTTACTCTCACGGGAGAGGGAAACACAAACTTTTTACATTTTTTGGTCAACCCAAGCCCACCTTTGGGACTGTTTGGATCTTTTTCCCTCCTACCCAGAGGAGAAAACTAAAACCAAGGGAGTTACCAGGACCGCACTCCTACCCCCTCTCAGTTTAGCAAGTGGGAAAAGGGGGGTTAAAAATCTAGCGTACTTTCCTAGGGTTAGATCTCCCATTTTCAAATCCATTGGTAAGGTTTTCTTCTTTCAGGTGACAGCAGATCAGCTTCTGTTTCATGCTGTGGATGACTCTGTGGCCATCCAGGGCACCAGTTGTCAGGGGTCTCCAAGACCACCCCCAGGTTTGATGGTTGGCCAGCAGGACTCAAAAGACTCAGCATGTAGTTGTACTCAGGGCTCAGTTTATTACAGTGAAGGGACACAGAGCAAAATCATGAAGAGGGACATGGGTAAAATCCAGAGGAAAGCAGGTACAAGCTTCCACAGGAGCCACACAGGACGAGCTTAACTGCCCTGGCACCGAGCTATGTCAAGTGCTGTCTGCCGGGAAACTGGGTAGAGATTCCAGGCCCAGGGTTTCCATCAAGGCTGATCACACGGGCACCCCCTGCCTGGCGCGTACCAAGTTCCAGACCAAGGAAAGCAGGTTTCAGCACAGACCACGTTGTCTGTACAGACAGTTGAGGCACAGCAAACCACACCTACCACCTAGGGAATGGGGGAGCCCTCCTGAAATCCATACTCCAGCCGAGGGCTAGCCTGCAGCAGTCCTGTCTGATGTGGTATCTCTGGCTAGCTGTTAGCTGTCTTCTGCACAGAATCGTGATTAAAGTTTGTTAGTTTCTCACTGTTAGATATTTAAGTAGTTATGTTTGTTTTTCTATTAATAAAAAAATGTGATGAGTATCTTTCTAACTCAGTTATTTTGCTTTTTTCGGGGGAGTAATTCCTAGAAGTAGAGAAAGTAGCTTTACTGAGCATTTTAATATCTTTTGTATCTTCTTGGCATATTTATGTATTTCGTCCTTCCATTTATCTTGGGTTTATCCTGTATCAGTAAAATATTCATGGTATTATATTAATTGATAAAACCTATAGTATGGATTTTTCAAAATTATGATCATTAGTACTTTTGAAATGTTTTGTGTGTATTAAGGGGGCATTGTAGCTACTTGTTGGCTCAGCTGCTGTTTTTGACGCTCTGTCAGGCCCCAGTTGTGACAACGTTGAGGAAGATATGAATGCTTCTGCTCAAGGTGCTTCTGCCACAGTTTTGGAAGAAACAAGGAAGGAAACGGCTCCTGTGCAGCTCCCTGTTTCAGGGCCAGAGCTGGCTGCCATGATGAAGATTGGAACGAGGGTCATGAGAGGTGTGGACTGGAAATGGGGCGATCAGGTACTCAGAGATTTGATGTGAACACATTAGCCACACGTCAGTTATCTTCTGCACAGTTCTGTACGATATTGGTGGGTGGAAATTGGAATAACCCGGAACGTGTGTGGTTGTTAGATGACACAGTTACTGATTCCCAAGCAGCTGAAGAGTAGGGAATCATAAGTAGGGCATCTGAGCAGAATCAAGTCGAGAAAGAGAGGCAGCTCTTCTCAGGAAACTCACTGGCGTGAGGCTCAGTTTGATGGGTCGCTGGAACCAGAGAGAGAGTGAGCAAGAGAGTAAATCTCATTCTGAAAGTTGGTGTAGTGAAGGCTCTGAGGCAGGAAGCCCAGATGCTGACCCTGTGAGCTGATGGCCATGTGCTGCGAAATGCCGCGAGCCCAGTAGTTAGGGATACACCTCATGGGCCTGTGGCCGTGTCTCCATTTTCCCTCATAGCAGGTCTCTTCTAAATCTGCCAGTACCCCCCGGTGGAAGTCACTTACCACAGCCCTAGCTAAGTTAGGGCAGTGTTCACCTTCCCATGGTCTGTCTGGCTTTTCTCAGCCACGCTGGTAAGCCGGGCTTTGTCACAGTCATCTTAGAAATAGCAGTGTCTGGAGACAGCAGCATCCATCCTAGAAACAGTTTTCTCCCGCAGAAGTGAGACAGAGCTTCCACCCTGGGGCCCGGGGGAAACTGAAGAAAAGGGAAGGTGGAGGTGCCGGTGCTTGTTTCCGGTTTCTGCTCTTGCAAGGCCCGTGGGGGATTGAGAGTCAGGACTTGCTGTAAAGCCCTGTGTCTGCATTGACCCAGAGAGGATCCTAATTGAGATGAGATTTCCCCGACTTCCTTGGTGAAGCAGCATGAGCACGTTATTTTATGTCATTTAATTTAAAATGATGCAAGCACACTTTTTGTAGGAGAGGTGAAATCTGTGTATGGGGATGGTCCCTGACAGACAGGGTGGCATATGGAGACATCTGTGTGGCAGGTCTGGTGGAGCCATGGAAGGACCAGGGCAGGGCACACACCCTCCTAATTGATCTCTACTTTGGTTTCTCAGGATGGGCCTCCTCCAGGCCTAGGCCGAGTGATTGGTGAGCTGGGAGAGGACGGGTGGATAAGAGTCCAGTGGGACACGGGCAGCACCAACTCCTACAGGATGGGGAAAGAAGGAAAATATGACCTCAAGCTGGCAGAGCTGCCGGCCGCTGCACAGCCCTCAGCAGAGGACTCGGACACAGAGGACGACTCTGGTGGGTGACTCAGGAAGGCATTTAGTCCAAGGCAGCCCATAAACTGTCCAGGTGCTGGCTGCCACCACTGTCATCTGGGCATTAGAATGGGATATCAGGACGCACCTGCAGCTGGTACTCTGTCCTTGGAGCCTGCTGTTTAAATAAGCTCCTGGGCACCTCTTATGCACGTGCGTAGAGTGGCTGTGGGATCTGACGATCTGACTGGAACTGGCTTTCTGCATTTTCCTCTCACGTGTGCATGTGCCCCTCTTTGAGAATGTGGTGGCCAGGCCGGGGCAGCTGCACCACCAGCGAGTCTCATGTGGTTGGTGCTGAGCCTGCGTGTGAGGGAGTGAGCTGAGGCCTGGTGGCATTGCCCTGCGATCTCGGTCCATCGCCTCCTCCTCCAGTGAGAGCCCCTGCCCAAGCACACTCCACCTGCCCTCTGCCTTTACCTTTCCTCTGCGGTCCTTGCCTCTGAACTCTTCCTGTAATGTGGAGTTAGTCAGCACTTTATCGCTTCTAGGGAAGCAGAAGTGAGAGTTCAGGGGTGGACCAAGAACGCTAGATCCTATCCAGGGAGATCCAGGTTGTGGGAGGAGGTTTCGTGACATTTCTTACCTGTTCCTAAAAGACATGTGAAGCTTCACATGGCTGGGCTTGGTAAGACCGACCAAGAGGCTGGGGCTGCCTCCCAGCACCGTGGTGCCCACCATGGGTGCAGTGTCGTCAGGCTCAGAAACGGCTGTGACAGTGAGCACGAGACCTTAGAAGGTGCACTCAGTAGAGAGTAGGTGGTGTGGGGGCTGGAAGAGGCTGTGCCACAGCAGACCATCTGGGCTCGGAGCACACAACTCAGATCCTGATGCCACCACCTTCGGCACATCACGTCTGGGGCCTGGGTCCCTCAGGTGTGAACAGAAGTGTTGCCTGCTGCGTAGGCCTGTTAGGAGTGATGTACGTGGCACCTGGAACCCTGTCCCTGAGGGTGGTTGTGGTGCTGGCCGCCAGCGTCCAGCCTGTATCATACTGCCTAACACCAGGCACTGCTTCCTCTCAGCCCACCTCACCTGCGGGAAGCAGGTCTGGCTCCCTGCCTGTGGCCTTTCCCCATAGGGATGTCAGAGCCTGGGCAGGGGTGGCCCCGTGACAGAGGGCGGCCTCATTTGCCACACATCTCCTCATCCCAAAGCCAGCCAAACTGGATGCACGAGCATCTGGTCGCCCCACTCCACAGATGCTGGTGCTTTGTCCTCATCCAGGACACAGCCTGCTCATCAGAAACTAGTGCTTGACATTTGATAAGTTGTCGTTCTAAAGAAGTGAAACCTTGGAATCATTTATTGCTTCTGAGTTATATGCTAATGTTGTTTTGAGAATTATTATTTAAAAGATTCTTGAGGAAGATGGGAACAGAAATATTAGGGTGCACGGTTAGTGCATCCTGAGTTCCATCTTTTCTTGTAAAGATCTGTTTCCCTTTCCAAAGCAGAAAAGATGACAGTTTGGGAGGTCAAGGTGGGAGGACTGTTTGACCCAGGGAGGAGGTCAAAGCTGCAGTGAGCTATGATCGTGCCATTGCACTCCAGCAGAGAGACCCTGTCTCAAAGAAAAAAAAGAACGCAAAAATCTCTGTACTTTTAATTTTGCGTGAACCTAAAACTGCACTAAAATTCAAGTCTTCAAGAAAACAAGAATGTAATATTAAAGCTATTAAATTATGTGCAAGACTATCTTCCAGTTTTACTTGGGAATATAATTTGTTATTTTGATTTTTTTTTTAGAAGCCGAACAAACTGAAAGGAACATTCACCCCACTGCAATGATGTTTACCAGCACTATTAACTTACTGCAGACTCTTTGTCTGTCTGCCGGAGTTCATGCCGAGATCATGCAGAGCGAAGCCACCAAGACTTTGTGCGGACTGCTGCGAATGTTAGTGGAAAGCGGAACGACGGACAAGACATGTATGGAATGAGAGATTGAGGGCCCAGGGAGTCAGCGCTGGGGGCCGCACGCTTGTCGTGTCTGGGTGTCAATGTGGGTGGGTGTGAATGTGTGTGGATTTGTTTCCTGTGGCTGCTGTAATAAAGTACTACAGACCTGGGGGCTTACACAGCAGTAGTTCTCACGGTTCTGGAGGCCGGAAGCCTGAGATCAAGGGTGGTTCCTTCTGGGGCTGTGAGGGAGAAGCTGCTTCAGGGCTCTGCCCCAGCTTGTGGAGTTTGCTGGTCTGTTTAGCGTTCTTTGGCTTGTAGAGGTGTCACCCCGATCTCTGCCGTCGTCTTCACATGGCATTCTCCCTGTGTGTGAGTCGCCTCCAAATCTCCTCTTTTCATAAGGACATCATTCAGTCTCATCAAACTAAGTACATCTGCAGCGACCCTATTTCCAAACAAGGTCACCTGCCGAGGTACTGTAGGGGTTTGGACTTCAACATATGAATTTGGCAATTCTGAATTCAACCCACAACACTGGTTTCAAACAACAGATTTGTTCTCTCAGAGTTCTGGAGTCCAGAGGTCCCAAATCCAGGTGCGGGTAGGGCCATGCTCCCTCCACAGGCTCTAAGGGAAGGTCCTTCCTTACCTTAAGGTCCAGCTTCTGGGAGCTCCAGGCTTCCTTGGTGTGGGGACGCATTGTGCCAGTGTCTGCCTGCGTCTTCGCATGGCCCCTGCCCCTGTGTTCTGCATGTCCTTTTCTGCCTCTGAAAGGACTCTTTCATTGAGTTTGACTCTAATCCAACATGATGTCACCTAAATTCTTACCTTAATGAGGTCTACAGAGACCTCATTAAATAAGATCATATTCTGAGGTTCTGAGTGTATGTGAAGTTGGGGGACAGGCACAGTTTAATCCGTAAAGTGTTTGTGTGTGGAGTGTAAGTATGAGAAATGTGAACTGAGTGGGGTGAATGTGCATGTGACTGACAGCCCCTGTGAGTGTGGGTGAGGATGTAGGCATGCTCCAGTGTGTGTGAGGTCGTGTGAGAGCATGCGTGTATTAGTGGTGTGCCAGAGTGTCCGCACTTATTGATGAGAGTGAATGTCTTAGCGGTTGATGGGCAAGTGGCTGAGCATGTGTGTTGCAAGTGTGGCGGTGTGTTTGTAGTGTGTGGTTGTGTATGTATATGTATGCATGCATTTATGTGAGTGGTGTGTGTGTGTCCATGAGAGCATGTGAGTGGGCAGGTGAAGTGGGAGTGAGAGCACCAGTGCATTGAGCCAGTGTGTGTGTGAGGGTGAGCACGAGGGAGGCATGAGTGTGAGGGGATTACTGGGTGTGTGAATGAGACGAAGTGTAAGTGAGGCTTGGTGAGTGTGAGGAAGTATGAGTGGGTGGCAGGCACAAGTGTAAGTGTGCGATTGAGGGTGAGCATTTGTGTAAATGTGAATGCCTTGTGTCAGTGTGAGCACGAGTGACGTGTCATTGTGAGTGCGTGTGCATGAATGTGAGCATTTTGCTTGTGTCAGTGAGTGGGAGGTTGTAACAGTGTAGGTGTGAGTGTCAAGTGAGCAAGTGTGTGGGTACAGGTGTGAGTGGGTGAGTAATCGGTTGTGACTAGTGTTTAGGAGTGTGAGTGCATCTGAGTTTCTGTATGCATTGGGAGGGGTAAGTGTATGTGAGAGTGCATAGGAGTGTGTGTCAGCTTGCATCTTAGGTTGTGTGTGCATATGTGTGACTGGGGTTGTGTGTGTGTTAGTGATTGCGACAGTGGTGTGAGTGCACCTGAGAGTGTGAGGGTGGGTGTGTGGATGCCCATGGGTGTGTCTGAATAACTTCGTATGGGTGTGAGTGTGAGGATGCATATGAGGGTGTGAGAGTGAGTGTGTGTGTTTGAGCGCATACGAGTGTGCTGAAGGAAGGCAGGTATCCTCATAGGCTTGGATAGCTGAGGGCAGGCTGGGGAGGTGGGAGGCGAGAGCAGGTCCTGTGGGGCTGTGGGTGGGGTCCCTCAGGAGGGCCCAGCCTCCAAGCCTCAGCCTCCGTTCAGGGAGTAGTGGAGTCCTGGAGCCAGGCAGAGCAGAGGTGCCACAATCCAATGTGTAACAATCCAATGTGCCACAGTCCAATGGTGTAAACCTAGTGAAAACCTTTCCTTCTGTTAATGCAGATATAGTAAAGTTAGATTGGAAACTTACGGTGCAGATTGAATATAAGCAAGATTGTGGAGATATTTAAAACGAAATGAAAAAAATACAATAGATGCACTCTTGCAAATTAACTGCTATTTGAATTATAGATCATTTTCCTGTTGCCTAGAAACAACATAGCTAAAGTTCCCTAACTACTTTTACTACACATACGTAGAAGGTTTTAAAAATGCCTGTAGTCCCAGCTATTCGGGAGGGCGAGGCAGGAGGATCACTAGAGCCCAGGAGTTTTAGACCAACCTGGGCAACATAGTGAGAGCCCATCTCTAAAAAAAAAAAAAAGAAAAATTCAGAAATGTTTCTTGAACTAACTTAAAAGTCGTCTTCCACTTCTCACTTTGAATTTGAATTAATTTACAAACTGCAATATATTTGTAAAGGAGCTTACTGTAGAAAATAAAATAATAAGTTGATAAAAAAATAAGGATTTACATTTAGGGATTTATCTTTAGGGACTTGTTACCAAGCATGTCTGTTTTCCCTCCTGCAGCTTCTCCAAACAGGCTGGTGTGCAGGGAGCAGCACCGGAGCTGGTGCACGCTGGGGTTTGTGCGGAGCATCGCTCTCACGCCGCAAGTGTGCGGCGCCCTCAGCTCCCCGCAGTGGATCACGCTGCTCATGAAGGTCGTGGAGGGGCATGCACCCTTCACTGCCGCCTCGCTGCAGAGGCAGGTAATGTGCTGCCAGGCAAAACCAGTTCCCTGAGAGAGGCATCCATGTACTGAAGTTCCCTGCCCTCAGAGTCAGGGGCCTTTATTCAGTAATGAGTACAGAAAGGGTCTAGAAGTGACAGGGTAGATTTTCTGGAGGCAAGGGGCAGAGGTCCTTGATAATTGGTAAGTCACTAACCTTTAGCTTACCTGCTTTTCTCTTCAGTGGTAAATCCTGCAACTACGCACTCATCTGCTTCACAGAATTTGTAGTGTAATTGTCTTAAGAATTAAACTAAAAATAATTCTTTTTTAATTAAACACGTGCATCTGTAATGTTGCTTTTTTCTAAAGTCCCTGACAATCCTAATCACTAATCAACTTGAGTGTAATTACCTGGCTGTAAAATAATGAATCTCAAAATTTTCACATGATTGCTTGCATTATGAGAACAGAAAATAAAGAGAGGCCGGGCACAGTGGCTCATGCCTATAATCCCAGCACTTTGGGAGGCCGAGGCAGGTGTATCACGAGGTCAAGAGTTCGAGATCAGCCTGGCCAACATAGTGAAATCCTGTCTCTACTAAAAATACAAAAAAAGTGAGCTGGGCTTGGTGGTGGGTGACTGTAATCTCAGCTACTTGGGAAGCTGAAGCAAGGAGAATTGCTTGAACCTGGGAGGCATGGGTTGTAGTGAGCTGAGATCGTGCCACTGCACTCCAGCCCAGGCGACAGGGCGAGACTCTGTCTCAAAAAAAAAAAAGGTAAAGAGAAAATAACAATCTGTAGTTTCTTAATCAGATTTTTTTTTAATGCTTGTCTTTTAAATTGTCTTTTATCAGATCTTAGCTGTGCATTTATTGCAAGCAGTCCTTCCGTCATGGGACAAGACCGAAAGGGCGGGGGACATGAAGTGCCTTGTGGAGAAGCTGTTTGGCTTCTTGGGGAGCTTGCTCACTACCTGCTCTTCCGACGTGCCGTTACTCAGAGGTGGGTGGCTGTCTCCCTTCCCCGTGCCCTGCTGAAGAGCGGCGCAGCAGCTCCTCCCCTTGTTTCCTCCGCAGAGTCCACGCCCAGGCGGCGCAGGGCGCGCCCGCAGGCCTCGCTGACCGCCACGCACAGCAGCACGCTGGCGGAGGAGGTGGTGGCGCTGCTGCGCACGCTGCACTCGCTGACTCAGTGGAACGGGCTCATCAACAAGTACATCAACTCCCAGCTCCGCTGCGTCACCCACAGCTTTGCAGGAAGGCCTTCCGAAGGGGTGGGTTTGTGCGCTCAAATTAATTTAGTTGAATGGTAAACCCGTAGGGATTGGGCAGCCCCGTGCGTGTCCCTGGTCGAGCTCGCTGTTTGGTCTGCACTAGGCCCAGCTAGAGGACTACTTCCCCGACTCCGAGAACCCTGAAGTGGGGGGCCTCATGGCGGTCCTGGCTGTGATTGGAGGCATCGATGGTCGCCTGCGCCTGGGCGGCCAAGTTGTGCACGATGAGTTTGGAGAAGGCACCGTGACTCGCATCACCCCGAAGGGCAGAATCACCGTGCAGTTCTCCGACATGCGGACGTGTCGCGTGTGCCCACTGAGTCAGCTGAAACCAGTAGGTGAACTTGTGCTCGGTTACTGTACGATGAGGGGATTCAGCTTTACGCTGGAACCGGGCACCACCACTAGCATTTGAAAGAACTTGCTTCTGGTACTTCAAGTTTGCCTTCCAGGAAGCTATGTGAGCTTGCGCTTCTGTGGTAAGCAGGGCCTGTCTCACAGGGCACCTAAAGCAGTGGTTCGCGTGTGTTTCAGCCTCAGAGACACGAGGGCTTTAGCAACCTAGAAGGTACCGTGCATCTATGAGGTAGTTCTAATTATTTTAAAATGTGAATTTATGAAGTTCACTTTTTATTGAACAACTCAAGTTTAAAAAAAACTTAAACATGTTTCCTTTTTAAAAAAACAACCTTTCTTCATGTAGAAAATGCATAGTTGTTCTGAGTGACATGACTTAATGTAGCAGCTACTGTCAACCTGTGAATCAGGGATGCACAGAGAGAAGGAGCCATTTACATTATTTTCATGTAGCCCAAGTGCAATCTTACTATATCTTTTTCTTTTTTTTTTTTTTTTTTGAGATAGAGTCTTGCTCTTGTCACAGGCTGGGGTGCAATGGCACGATCTTGTCGGCTCTCTGCAACCTTTGCCTCCCAGTTTCAGGCAATTCTCCTGCCTCAGCCTCCTGAGTAGCTGGGATTACGGTGTGTGCCACCACGCCTGGCTAATTTTGTATTTTTAGTAGAGACAGGGTGTCACTATGTTGGCCGGGCTGGTCTCAAACTCCTGACCTCAGGTGATCTGCCCGCCTTGGGCTCCCAAAGTGCTGGGATTACAGGTGTGAGCCACTGTGCCTGGCCTGACTATATTTTCTATAAAGTACTCTTTTTTATTTTTATAGGAATATATACATGTTGTAGAAAACTTGAAGTATATAGAAAATACCTGAGAAGATAGTAACCACCATATTGATGTAATTATTGTTGACAGATTTGTAAAGAAAAATTAATGCAGATTATACTTACTGTATGTGTAAGTCTGTATCTTGCCTTTAATATCATTTTAAAAAATGATTATTCTCAGCTCTAAAAAGGCTTATGGGTATGTGTGGCATTTCAGGATTAAGCCCATGGTTTTGATGACTTTCAGAACGTTTCATTTGTTAGTCATATTGGCCACATGCTGACAGCTTCTGTGTCCTCTCCAGCTTCCTGCTGTGGCCTTTAATGTGAACAACCTGCCCTTCACAGAGCCCATGCTGTCTGTCTGGGCTCAGTTGGTGAACCTCGCTGGAAGCAAGTTAGAAAAGCACAAAATAAAGAAATCTACTAAACAGGCCTTTACAGGTCAGTACATGGTGCTGCTTGATGAAATAGCTGCCGTCTTAAATTCATGTTGTTTGTACAGTGTTCTTTCACGAGTGAGTTCACGGGCCTGCTAAAGTCCTGGGGTTCACGTGGGCTCACCATTTGTTGAGTTGCAGTTGGGAGTGTAACCCTGTGTTCGTGGTAATGACTGTTTTCAAGTCAGCCTTCGTCACCATGCTCGGAGTCACACTTAAAGAACCCCATGGCTCACACCCTCTTCTCAGTGTCACCCTTTATCCCAGAAGAAAAGTCTGTGTTCACTTCTTCTCTCCTCCCCTCCATCCCAGGGCCCTGTGGCCCAGTCACCCTGTTGGACCATGGCTCGTGGCCTGTTCCCTGCCAGATCCAGGGGCCTCTGTCCTGGAAGCCACCTGGCTTGCTTGTGGCATTCAGAGTGGCTGAGACTGTAGCCTTGCTTGGCTCTGCCTTCCTTTGGGTCTAGAATGCAGCTCTCCCGAGTTTCTTTCTGTGTTCCTAGGGAGTTCTTCTCTCTGCTTGTTCTTTATATCCTGGACTTTCTCGTGGCTTCACCCATAACTGTGGCATATTCTGCCCACCCTTCTTGAGTTTTCTCCCCTCTTGCTCCCACAGACCTACGATTGCTGCTTTAGCATTTATGATGTAAGCACTTTCAACTCTGGATCTCCCATTCACATCTCTGCTTGGAGATGCAGTGCATGTAAATCGCAGCACGTCCGAAATTCAGCTGACCTTCTCTAGTAGCTGCCATTTCCCATCGTGGTGAATAAACCTGTCTGCCAGTTAAGTCGAGCCAGTGCCCGAGTGGCACCTGTGGCCCTGTTTCCTTCCCACCCCATGCTCTCTGTGCTGCTTCTGTGGCGTCTGCTATCAGATAAGCCTTGGGCATTGCTGCGATCTTCATCAGTTAAAGAGCTGGTAGAGCCGACAGATTCTCTCAGAGGAGTCTTAGAAGAAGAGTGAAAGCGGCTGAAACTTCAGCAACTTGGGGAACATTTGCTCATATTAATAGTAGCTAACATGGTGCTGTGTATAACCATTGAATCCTGCGTCCCATCAAGTTAGGTGCCTGGAGAGCAGGGAAGGAAGACCCAGGAAGCAGAAGGTGCTTGCCCAGAAGCGCCGAGTGTAACACTGGGAAAGGCGAGCCCGTTGTCACAGACAGTGTGTGGTGGGCGGATTCCTGAAGGGCAGAACGTTACTCACCGCCACGTGGCGGAGGTTTGCTGAGGGAGTCTGAGCAGGGCACGCCCTTCTCACTGGATCTCTCCTTCCACAGGACAAGTGGACCTGGACCTGCTGCGGTGCCAGCAGTTGAAGTTATACATCCTGAAAGCAGGTCGGGCGCTGCTCTCCCACCAGGATAAACTGCGGCAGATCCTGTCTCAGCCAGCTGTTCAGGAAACTGGAACTGTTCATGCAGGTATCTTTTAAAAAAGTTCTTAAAGCTTTATAAGAAAGGCAGTAGAAAGTAGACAAAGGATGTGAACAATCAGTTCATAAAAATGGACATAGATGGCTTATAAATATACAAGAAAGACAAGTGGCCTGCGTAGCAACCACCAACTGTGGATAAAATTGTCATCATCATCTTATAAGACAAGACAGAGGGCATCTGGTGGGTGGGGAGGGAAAAAGGTATTTTCATGCCTTCCCGTTTAAAGTTTGGTGCATGGGTCAGCAAAATTGATGGCACACGGGTATGTGTTAGAAATGCAGACTCCCAGGCTGCACCCCAGACCATAGAAATAGAACCTGTATTGTAACAAGAAGAACCTACGCTGGTTCTTCAGATGCACATGAAGCAGCACTCCATGAACACGCTGCTGCTGGGAATTTCAGTTGGTGTAGCCATCTGATAAGCGTCTGAAGAAATGAGACGGACTTTGAAATTCATACATGTATGTGTTTATATACTTTGATACAGCAAGTCATTCTGTGGGACTTTATCACACGAAGAGGCATGTAAAGATAATATGTTCACCAGCCGGGCATGGTGGCTCATGACTAATCCCAGCACTTTGGGAGGCCGAGGTGGGCGGATCACGAGGTCAGGAGATCGAGACCAGCTTGGCCAAGATGGTGAAACTGCATCTCTATTAAAAATACAAAAAGTTTGCCGGTCATGGTGGCGGACACCTGTAGTCCCAGCTACTCGGGAGGCTGAGGCAGGAGAATGGCGTGAACCCAGGAGGTGGAGCTTGCAGTGAGCCAAGATCGCACCACTGCACTCCAGCCTGGGGACAGAGCGAGACTCTGTCTCAAAAAAAGAAAAAAAACAAAAGTTAGTGGGACATAGTGGTGGCCCATGCCGGTAATCCTAGCTACTTGGGAGGCTGAGGCAGGAGAATCGCTTGAACCCGGGAGGCAGAGGTTGCAGTGTGTGCGGAGTGCAATTGTGCCACTGCACTCCAGCCTGGGCGACAGAGTGAGACCTTGTCTCAAAAAAATAAGTAAATAATGTATTCAGCAATGTCGTTATGGCCTCCTTTTTGGTATTGTTTTTATGTTGATAAACTGTAGACACCAAAATACCTATTCTTATATTGTGTATCCATACAGTGTAATATCTTGGTGCCATTCAAAATGATGGTACATAATAGAGTCTTCCCTCAGTATCCATGTGGATGAGTTCCTAGACCCCCAGTTATACCAGAATTCAC